AGTACTTACGACCACGCACTGGCATCTCTCGTCGCATCGGAGGTGGCAGCGCGAGAAAAATACGACGATAACTGCGTAACTTGAGAGAAAAAAAAGAAAAGAAAAAGGTAAAAAAAAAGGGAATACTGATGTCAATCTCGGATACGTATTACGCGCTCGTATTTCGACCGTAAGTTGTGCGCGAGAAAGGAAGAGAGAGACAGACAGAGAGAGAAGTAAAGAAAAATCAGCGAGAGAAAATTGCATGCGACGCGCGTTTTTCTCTCTCTTGCTTTCTTCGTCCGCGCGATGCGCAATCATGTCGCAGAAATCGTCGAAACTTTTACGGAAACTCTCTCGCATAAATGTGCCTTAACGTAAACGTTACGTGTGCGCGGCCACGCGTATTTACCGCGAATACCGTTCTTAGATAGACAGCTTCGTTATCGATAGGCTGTACGCAAATAGTCTTAGAACTGTGCAATCAAAATTTACTGTCTCTCGTTATATCGTTATTGGCTAGAGAAGTATACGAAGAACGTCTTCGAGGTCAGGTCGCACGCACTTCCTCAACAGTCCTCCTCGTGCGGCCGCGAGGAGGGCCGTTGGAAGACATCTGTATCTAGCATCGCGAGTATCTCGAAGAGAAGGCTGTAAGAAGAAAAAGAAATCCGCTGTTGAATATGCGCGGGTATATACATGAGAATGATATATATAATGTATCATTTATGGAATATATATCATGTATATGTATACATATCTTTTCAGCCAAAAGTATTAAGAGACGAAAAAGTTATTCAGAGGAAAAATATTTTTCTCATTGATGTGCAATACGTCGATGGAGAAGAGACAAGAGCAGGATTCATTCGTTCGCGTTCGCCGATGTTTGTCGAATCTCACATACGCAAAATGAAAAAAAAAAACGAAAAGAAAAAAAAATAAGACGATGCACAATTCGAGGCGCGGAACCGATTGGGACTCTTTGTGACAATATGTTTGTGCACTTAGTTTCGAGAAATTTCCTTCTTGAAATCAGGAACACAGCCGATGTCCAATGAGAGAGCTCAACTTCTAGGAAGTAATTAGAAAATAAGTTCTCTCCGTGGTTGAGACAAAGTATATATTCCGTCGAACGACGGCGAACAGACGACGGAACAAACGCGCGAGTGCTTACGATCGGTTGTTATTATCGCGTTTCGCGCGCTGGGAAATTGTCTATGAGATATTATATGCATGTAATGATACATATAAACGGAAAACAGATATACACGTAATCTCTGTCCATATACGTGCAAGAGTGCGTGAGAGAGTGACTTACTTAATTATCGATTTTATCGTTGTAATGTAGTCGCAATCATCTTTCTTTTTTAGGTCTGCCATACTGTATATGTGTGTAACGATTAAGAAACTTTCGAGCCGCGCCGCGTTATACACGGAAACTTCTGTATAGTCAGTCATGTGTCAAACGTTATACTCGTTCTTTCGACGTCTTTTTGGAATTTCTCTGAAGGAGGGTCTCTCCTAGATTACTAGTTTGGTCCTTCGTGTATATAATGTAATATGAGGGCGCTGAAAAAAAAAGCGTACAGCTAACATTGAAGAGTGATCTGAAATCTACTTAAGTTCGTAGCGAAGAAATACATATATATATTTTATTCGATATATATATATATATATATATATATATATATATATATTTATATCGGATATTTTATTATTGTACGTACGTAAGTAATCGATTCGATAAAACACAAATCACTGTTCTCGATTTAAAAAAGAAAAAAAATTAGCGATCATTGTACACGAGTTACTCGCGAGTTCTTCGCGCACGCGATCGATTATTGTTTTAGAAGACGGATATGTATACTCTTTATGTGTATATGCTGTCTAATATATATATGCGCGTGGGAACGTAAATTATTACGCATGTATACATAATGTATATACATACGCATTGATTCAGTCGAACATCTTCGTACGGTACAAATAAATACGGCCGCAGTTTACTTCTTGCGTGTGTGTAATAGTAGCGCGGTATAGTTTTCGTTACGTGCAATTAAGTCAAGTCTTCTATTAGGTTCAACAAGTGCACATCGTGTCGAAAGGATAAAGAAAGTTTGCATAGTTGACAAAATTTCGAATTGTAAAGAAGTCGCGATGTATAAATAATTATATTTTCTATCTCTCTAGCGATATTTTCGCTAACCAAAACGGAAGTAAACACCGGCGTAATTTATTTATATCCTGTTATCATATTTATACACACGTGTATACATACAAATTTACGTAAGAAATATTATATATGTGCAGGCAATCTTGTTAGATCTTATATGGCATGCGCATTTACATTTATTATTATAGTTACATATATATATATAGTATATATGTATATAGAACTATATATATATACATATATATATTATAGTTCTTTTGCCGAAATTTATTACGATATAATTTTTTAGTTTCATATTTTATTTTAATGTTGATAATATGTGCAGGATACGTGGCAATATTATTGTATAAGTGACAATGCAAAGCAATCCTGATTTACCGAAATCTCTGCAAGATCTGAATGATTACGAATCGTAGTACTGTACGCTACTTACAAGAGAAAAAGAAAAGAAAAATGTAAAGGAAAATTCACGAAATATGCAGTGAAAGTGCAAACGAAATAGTTTATACAGATATGTATAAATACTACGATGAACGGCAATAAAAATATTTTTCCAATACTCGACATACTTACTTAACATTGCGCATTCGAATCAACATGCATCAGCACATTGGAGCATAAGCGGATATCAATGCAATGAAACATTCGATTTGTATCAATTTTATTATAGAGAAAAAGAATATTGCTCTTTGTACAAAAGATCAGATCTCGCTTAATGACTATCACTTAAATAATGACTGATCAATCACACTTCACTGTGTACTTCACTTTCACTACAAGTTATTATTATTTACAAGTTATTTTTCGACTTACATGTCGACTGTTATCAGCTGTAACTATGAAATGCTCAACGAAAAATCGATCATCATGAAACGTGTGAATTTCTCACATTATCGACTTTGGTAGTCTGTACAGGCCGCCGGTAAATAATAACTGATGCTCGCGGACTTTCCTATCAAGAAAGTGCTTCAATTCAGGCAAGCCACATTCCACAGTACCCGGTCCCTGCGATGCGAACATTTTCAACATCTGGTGAATCCTTTCGAGCGGCATCGAGTCTAGATTCGTCAGCATCCCGACGATGTACGACCAGAATACCTGCAGCTCCTCTTCCCGTTGATCGCTAGCCGAGGCCATCGCGCTCTCGATCTCCTCCTCCTCGACAATGTCCGCCGGCAAGCGACTCATGTATGTGTTCTCCTCCTGCAGCACATACACGTCATTCGTGGTCTCCTTCAGCAGACCTTGCGACACCCAGAAAGCCATCTTGCGTCGCAGGACGGTCGGTGGTGCGTGCATCACCTCCGCTAGATCCTCCAGAGCCCATTCATCTGCAAAATAGTCTTCAGTTAACAACGGTATTACCAGAATTAACAATTATACGCAATTCACTAAGTTTTTGCTCTTTTTTCAAAATGCCAAGAATTTCACTTACTTTTGTCTTGGTAGTGCAAGATAATGGTCGCGTGAACCGGCGTGACGTTTATGTCCAGTTTCTTGCCTTTCAGTTCGATCTCCAAGTTAACGTTGCCCAAGTGTGGCTTCCAACAGAGCGTTCGATTACCTTTCAACGCCTCGAATGCCTTCACGTACTTGTTCAGTTGGTCCTGCACGATGCTAGGCAATTCCAGCTTCCAGTCTTCTTTGAACGGCGGCCAGAATTGCGCGGAGAGTATAAGCGCTGACGTAGGGAAGTGCTCGCGTTGCAGGTTGTAGCTGGTGTCGGAGTGGATGTTGCCGTCTATCCTCTTAGAGTCGTACACGTCCTTCAACATGACTTCGCAGTAGTGCAGCTGATTCTCCCCGAAGCGTCTTTTCAGCAGCTCCAAATGACGAATCTCGCGCTCCGTATGATAATTCAGTTGTGACAATAGTCTGTCCGCGAGGAGCGTGCGGTACTCGTTGACGAACAGATCTTGGCTGCCGTAAACATTTACCAACGACGAGATTATGTCGACATCTTTGCGTTGAGTCGATTTACCTGCCGAGAATGAATTTATCCAATTGATAGAAACTTTATTCTTAAGACTGATCGAGAGAAAATCGCTTCTTTTCTCCGTCAGACATCATGATGGAGTTTGATGATAACTCACCAGGATCGGCATCCACTGGATCAGGCATCCACTTCTCCCAATCCTCGGTCTCGTCGTCCACAGAACCGTCGTCTAGTTGCAGGCACTCACCCTTCGCCAATTCGTCGGCCAATTCACTAGGCGAGTCGTCAAGTAAGCTGTTGACCACGGAGCGTACGGTGTCCTCTCGACTCTTTAAGTAAGTCCTGGGTAGAAGGAAAGAATTTGAACGAGATGCAAATTCTGCTTTGAACCGGAATGTGCAAAGACGAGAGTGTGAGTCTCGACAAAACGAGACTAAACTCACTTGACAGGCTCCGTCACGGTCTCCAAAAGAACTCCAGTCGAATCCAGGTGCTTGAGCGCCTTAATCGCGGCGATATATGCGGTCACTATGTCGGGCGTATTTACACCGGGGTGCAACAATCGTGTCTTGATCGCCTCCTGCAGAGTGCTGACAAGAAATCTACGTAAATCGGTCCGTTCCAGGCAAATGCGAAGATCCTCCACCGCGGCTTGCGACTCCGGGTACTCTGGGGAAAAGCGGACGCATGGAATCATAGTGTTATGAAAAAAAAAGAGGAAACGCTTGCAAATATAACGCGACGTAATGAACATACCTATTATTATGCTAAAGAGATGATCAACCCTGATCTTGATGTAAGTCTCATACAGGAAGTGAGACAACTTTCGCTTGAACGTGTTTAAGGCGTTGCGAACGTCGTCGCTGAGTGCTACTGTTTTCGAGAAACCGCCGGAATAGATACGCATCAACCAGCTCATGACGACTATTTCAAGCCACTGCAATAAAGTGAAGTCCAATGTCAATACATAGAGAACTATATTTAACTATTTTAATACTAATATCATATAAATATCAAAGCACTGATGTGACGTATGTATAGTCACAAGAACTATATTTAACTATTTTAATACTAATATCATATAAATATCAAAGCACTGATGTGACGTATGTATAGTCACAAGAACTATATTTAACTATTTTAATACTAATATCATATAAATATCAAAGCACTATATATTATTTCATATTATTTTAGATTATTCTTACATTATATAGTTTTCACATTATTTCACTTATCATTACTTGACTACTATTATTATTTTATATTATTTTAATGTTTATGTACACGCACAAATCTACCATAAAATAATTAACATACGTTTTCCAACGGAATTAGTTGAGACACGTCGAAGGTCTTGTCGCAGGACTGAATCACATGATTTTCAATACGGATGTGAATTAATGTCGTAAGCACATTTCCTACAAGTCTTTCCAGCAACTCCAGCTCAATCAGTTTCCTGTTCGTCTCGTGGAACATATAAACTATCATCTGGCATTGGCATTTCTCTAGCTCCTGGCTACATCCTGTACATTGTACCTCGTTGAGCGATAACACCTCATTGTCTGCTTGAAAATACACACACATTTGTAATGTTTCATGCCTTTACAAGACAAACCTCAAGCAGCACAAATGATCATAAATAAGTATTAATAATTTACTTTGTGACAAGTTATCCGTGTTGCAAAATACATTGAAAGCAATCTTGTAGAAATGTTCCACAATGCATTCATGAAAAAGAGGTAACTGGCTTAATAACGTCGCTCTCACGATTAGTTTGAACTGAGCTTGTACATTATTGCTGATGATTGTTAAATCTTTGTCGTGTTTGTCTTGCTTTAAATGCTCTAATCTCTTCAAAAGTGGTAGGAACTCTGTAAGACTGGTATATAGATCGTCCACAGCGGACTTGAATAACTCAAAACCACGTTGGCTGTCCTCTGTGTTCTCAAACTTCTTCCAGAACGTTGGTGCCACACACCAACGAATATACTGCTCTATCTTATGAATAACGAGATCCTCAACCAGATGTGCCAGGTTCAAAGCTCGTATATTCGCCAATATGTCTTCAGCTTCCTCTTCTGTACACACATCTTCGATCTACAACAAGATAACTACTGTAAACAATTGTCAGGATGCAACTTACATTAAAGGTATATTTTTATTTTTTGCTGGATATATATCTTAATATAGGAGACTCATGTGATAATTGAATAGAATGGCATACGCATGTTGAAATACAAATATGAAAGAATCGCAAAACAATTACTACTTTAAAATTTGTTGCATATACATCAATATAAAAATATAAACAAAATTTGTTAGCATTATATTTGAGGTTATGGTTTTACAAGCTGTTCTTTTAAAATTCATTGATCAGTGAAAGAAAATTTATACTTGCGTATATTAAATGTACCTTTCCTTTACCTATCGGAAAAGCACGTTCTATTCGGTTAAATATATCTCCATGAGCGAACTTCGCTTCCTCCATGGCTCAAACAACTTTAAAAAAACAAACAGGTTAGATTAGAGGCCTGTTCTTTGTAGTTGCACTGCTGAACTGGTGCAATATATTGAAGTGAAACAAATATACGTTTTCTCACTCTAACTTATTGCACTAGTTCAGTAGTGCAGCTACAAAGAACAGGCCTAATATTGGCTCTCTCTTTCTCTCTCTCTCACTTTGGTTTCAGGGCTGAACCTGTGGCCCTTTCACCACTTGACAGGACACGATTGCACAACTATTTTATGAGTCTTCAGTCCGTATCAGACTACCGACTGCCGACTATGACTGCCGACTCTCAATGGACCAATCACAGTAAGGCGCCGATCGGTGTCTCATTGTGATTGGTCCATTAAAAGTCGGCAATCGGGTCGGCCTGTGCAGTCGGTAGTCTGATACGGGCTTAAGGAATACACATGATGTAAATATAAAGATGTACCAGTCTCGTGGATGCACAGTCGTCCAGAATAATAGCTATCAGAAATACCCAGGAATGTTAGAATCCAATATGGACAGTACGTACGTCGTTGTGTTATATATTATAAGAAGTTAAGAGGTTATATAAAAGTAAAAGAATATTAACCACATATTGTAAGTATTTTTATATAAAAAACGCAATGAATATCTAGTATTACAAACTTACTATACGATATATATATATATATATATATATATATATATATATATATATATATATATATATATATATATATATATATATATATATATATATATATATATATATATATATATATATATATATATATATATATATATATATATATATATTACAGATTTTAAGTTTAAATACGCATTAATAATGTACGATTAATTTTGGGCATTTGAGTTTCGCGGCTATATTCTGCGCATTTCTAATTGGTTTACTATACAATACGTCATCATCACGTGATCATCACATGCGTCATCATGCGCAATGGTACACCTTTATATTTACATCATGGGAATACATTAGACTCATTATTTCTATGAGTATATTGGTCAATATACTAGGTGCGCAACTAAGTTTCCGGGTTTTTTTGATCAATGAAAAATGGAAAATTTCAAGAGAAATACAAAAAATGGTTTATTCAAAGTATCGTCCCTCGCTAGCTACACATTTTTGCCATCTCTCTGGCAATACATCAATACCGCGACGATAAAACGACGCGTCTTTGGACCGAAACCATTCATCCAACCAATTTTGCACTTCTTCGAAATTGGCCAAGTGTAGCTCAGCCAAGTCATGCGCCATCAACCGGAACAAGTGATAATCGGAAGGGGCCAGGTCTGGTGAATACGGCGGGTGCGGTAGCAGATCCCATTTCAGCGTTTTGATGGTGTCCTGAACGATGGAAGTGCGATAGCATGGAGCGTTGTCGTGCTGCAGTATCACTCGTTCGTGTCTCGTGTCCCATTCTGGCCGTTTTTCGAGCAATGCATGGTTCAAATTGATCAGTTGTTGTCGGTAGCGATACTCATTGACAGTTTCGCCCGGTTTCAGCAGCTCATAGTACACGATTCCTTTCTGGTCCCACCAAACGCAGAGCATTGTCTTCTTTCCGAAGCGATTTGGCCGTGCCGTCGATGTTGATGCTTCGCCAGGTGAAAGCCACGATTTTTTGCGTTTGGGATTCTCGAAATATATCCACTTCTCATCGCCAGTAACAATTCGATGCAGGAAACTCTTTCTTTCATGCCGCAAAAGCAAAATTTCGGAAGTGGCTCTTCGATTTTCCATCTGTCTCTCAGTCAACTCATGCGACACCCATTTTCCTTCCTTTTGAATTTTTCTCATGGCATGTAAACGTTTGGAAATACCTTGGCGAGTCATGTTTAATGCCTCCGCAAGTTGATCTTGTGTTTGCGTATCATCTTCATCCAATAACGCTTGCAGATCGGCGTCCTCAATTGTTTTTGGTCTTCCGGAGCGCTCCTTGTCCTTAGTGTCGAAATCGCCACTTCTGAAGCGTTTAAACCAATCTTCACAGGTAGTTTTCGATGGTGCATGTTCGCCGTAGGCCTCCTCAAGCAAACGACGTGCTTCAGCTGCATTTTTTTTCAAGTTAAAGCAGAAAAACAAAACTTCCCGCAAATGCTGTTTATTTGGCACAAAATTCGACATCTTCATTGTTAGAAAAAATATTTTTGCGTTGCGATATGTGTTGGTATTATGACTGGTTATTGTTGACAGATGTCCAAGCTATAAAAGAAACACAACTTTAGACATGTATATCGACTACATGTGCGTTAGCGCCATCCATGAAACCCGGAAACTTAGTTGCGCACCTAGTAGATACAATTTATAGCTATCACTACCACAATTCCTCGTTAAGTGGCGGCTCGTAGCGGAGACTTTTGAACTAACTTATATATTAGATGCAGTTTATGGGTACGGTCCAGTAAGCGCTACAAATGCTTTGTAACATTTTTACTTCTTTCTCTTTTTTTATTCGAATCCGAGAAATAGAACAAGAAAGAGGAACGCTGCGCAGCATTTGTAGCGTGTACTGGACCGCGCCCTATAGCTATCACAACTTCAATTCCTCGTTAAGGAAAGTGGCAGATCGTAGCGAAGACTTTGGAACTACAAAATATCTGTAATTAGTTCCGAAGTCTCTGCTACGCGAACCGCCACTTTCCTTAACGAGAAATTGAAGTAGTGATAGCTATAAACTGCATCTATAAGTTAGTTCAAAAGTCTCCGCTACGAGCCGCCACTTTCTCCTTAACGAAGAACTGAGGTAGTGATAGCTATAAACTGCGTCTATATTGACCCCCCGATGTTACATTATATTTAATTATAATACATACGTAATCTTTTAATATAATCTTTAATATATTGTGAACAGTCCAGCAATTGCTGCGAAAGTTATTGGTTAGGTTATGTTAAGTTAATAACTTAACAGAATTAGGTTTGTTGTCATTGCACGTGTCGTATACATATATAATTATCTTTTCAATATTCAAGAGTATTTCGTTATTTGTTAGTTTTCGTCAAGTATTTATCAATGTAAGTCACGTGGGAAAGTATTGCAGGCTTTATCAACTCATTTAAAGCTCAATCATAATTTGTCAAATTTTGTAGCAAAATTGATTTACCTGAGAAATAAGAACACAATTTGGAAGAACATGTTTATTTCAATATAATTCTCCAATTTTAACTTATGCTATTTACCAAATAGATAAATTCCAATATGTTATTAGCTGTGATATTAAGTACAGTGAAAGCAAATCTACGAGTCAGTTGCTTGTAGAATGTTAGCTAATGTGAGTTATATCAGAAACAAGACTAATTTTATACTTTTATTTACAGAACTGTGATAAGCATGAGGATACCTTCTTTCAAGTACAGAAATGCGATCCTGGGTGTGACTGCAACTGCAGTTGGATACTATGCGATTATCACACCGCATACTGTATTGTTAAACAAATACAGATACATAATGGCTAGATATCAGTGAGTAATAAGAAACTTGGTTTTAGCAGACTTATTCTGCAACTTTTAACGAGATTGCTGTCAAAGATCATTTTCAGGTTCTCACTTTGTGTTGATATTTACTATAATTATTATAGTAGACAGACTTATAGAATATCCACATTTATTTAAATTCACATTTAGGAAAAACGAAAGTATACACTATAATTTAATTTACATTTACTTCCAAATTATCTTAAGGAATAATAAGAGTTTCTCTTATTATATGAAATAATAAAATTAAGTCTAGCTTGTGATTAATAACACATATAGATTACAGAATCACAATGTCTTAGATAACAGAAACTTCTAAAAGAAGTCTGAAAAACATCTAAAAAAAATAGGACATCTTTAAAACGTCTTTAAAATGTCTTTTAGAAGTTTCTGCTATCTGAAGTCTGGGAAACGTTATTCCTACAGGGAGTAATTAATTCTGTCAATTGACATTCACGGTCCCCTCTGAATGTGCAGAATGGGTAAAGAGATGCCACTGAGTCCCAAGATTCAGCAGACGATTCAGCGGGTGATGGATGACCTGAAACTACCAGACAACGTTAGGAACGTAATCAAGCCTTTCAGCGTGTTTGGCTTCGACATGTTCCAGGCAGGCACACTCGCCGCCAAGCATGGGGCGGTGCTGGGGATCCCTGTGAATTTCATCGTCACGGCTGAAGTCTTGCGGCAAGAGTTGCAAATCAAGGATGAACCGTTGGACTGGACGCGACAGGACGCGAAGATTTTCTTCAGTTCGTTGATGTTCTCGGAAAACGCGAAGAAATTCGCCATAGCCAGAGAGATCCTCCGAATTCAGGCGGAGGAACCGCGCTTCAATTCCTTCAGACTAGCCGTCATTATAACGGTGTTGTGGGCTTTCTACAACGCGATAACGCTTCGATTTCAATTGCGCGGTCGCAATGTGATATTATGTCGCTCGCTGTACGTGAGCTTCGCGCTGCTCGGCGCGATCTCGTGGATCGGCATCAAGGATTATCGTAGTTATCGTTTGGACAGTGTGCACGACAGAGCTCTGTGCGATTTGGGCGTCGAATACGTGAGAGGTGGACAAGAGTTCTATGAGAAAATGGTGATGAGAAACAGAGCTCTGAGATCTTTGCTGGGAAAAGACGGTGAGAAGCAGTATACCGCGAACGGAAACGAGAGAATTTTCCTGCGGCAGAAACACGTGCCGATTGTTCACAGGAAGGATTTTTTTGATTCGCAGTTGGATTGAAATTTTAGATTGTAAAATATGACGATAATAGAAAGACGCTTATGACAAAATGCATACCGAGATTTCTTTCTCTCGCATTTCATCATACAATAATCAAAGTGCGTAATCGATGCTGCTAATTGTAAATATAATAATCGTCAAGATTATCATATATGAGATTTTTATGTATATTCTTCACTTTGTCGATGATATCAATTGTGTTGCGCTGATAAGTGCGTCGTCATTAACAACAAATTCTGCCAACCAGTTAAAGTTTCGTATTCACATTGATTACGCGTTATTAATTAATTACAGTATATATTTATACATGCACACATCGCCTCTTGTACAATAAGTATTATACGTGTACGAAATATTGCTACGGTCTTATATGTAAAAAGTACTATCATAAAAGTGTAATAACATCAGACATGTGTGTCAGCGCAATCGTGTTCTTCTGTCGCACACGTTTAATCACAGGTAAGGGCGTGTCTTATATAAATCTCTATCTGTATAATATTATGTAAGCCTATATATAATATTATACAAATTTATGTATATATGTATATAACGTGTCGTTAAATTAATATTTATAAAAGTCAGTAGTATATATACGTGTTACATCTCACGTTTTCAGCTTCCTCTCTGTTTCTTTCTATACTTTATACAATTCTTACTTGCACCTCTTTATATAACGAGGATGCATTTACAGCATATGGTTGCAGATTTTGTGCATCTCTATACAGAATATTTCGAACATGCTGTACTTCTCCTTGGATTACGTGAGACCTAGGGAGCCAAACTGCAAAAATGCAAGTGTATGTTTTAGTCATGTAATATAATTACGTATTAAATTAGTGCAAAAAACTTGCTATTTTTCTAAAAAATTCTAGAAAATTTGGATCTCATATTAAAAAGAAAATAGGAAGTTCTCGCATTAGATATTAAAAAGAGTTAATGTTCATTTTCACGCAAAAATTATTAATCCCTTCAAATTGGATATAATTTTGATTTCTATTTTACTTCACAAATAAAACAAAGTTTTTGCATTAATGTAATAAATTGCAATGCAACAAATTGAAGGAGGATCGCTCTATTATAGATTACGACGACTTACCAAGGTCAGCTTGTCTTCTTCCTTCTTCATTATCTTCGTAGTTTGCTCTTGATCGAATTTGACGACAGCTGCAATCACCCGGGCAAGCACCATGGTCTCCCTTCCCATCATGTACTCGAACAGAATGTTCCTCAGGTACTCGATCTCTGTGGAGTCTTCCAGAGTGTCATGCCGCAGCTTCACCAGCTTCCTAAGCTCCGCAATTTCCCGGCGCTGAGACGTCAAAGTCTGCTGCATCGTGTGAATCGAGCCAGTATTCGTCTGTATTGCGGCCATCGCTACGCGCGACGTGCTCTCCAATTCCTGCACGAAATTCTCAGTTCAATAAAAAGTTTCGCGACTCGATCGCGATTCAGCAACGTTGCTATAGAAGCCATACATACAACAGAGAGACGTAATACGATAAATCTATGCGTTGGAATAGAAGGAGAAAAGAAAAAAAAAGAGAAAAATGAAAGAAGCTTTACCTCGGCAGCTGCGTCGGTTTGTACATCAGGCTGAAAACAATGTGTATGCATGAACGTAAATGAAAAAAAAAGAGTCGTTAAATTTTTAATCAAAAGAATATATACTATATGTGTATACATACACGAAACAAAATCTCGGTTCGTGTAACTGAATAGAGACCAAATGAAAATTCGACGACGAGAAATGATATCTCTGTTACTGCGATCGAAAACATTTTTCTGAACGTTTAATTGCATTGAAATTCAGTTGAGATAATGAAGAGCAATTGACTGAATTGAAACTTCCTGCGGGAAACTTTCTGTTCCTACGAGTTTTCAATCTAGTCTCTATTCTTCCTAGACAAAATTCAGTACACTACGGAGTTTTTCCGTGTATATAAGAAGCGTGTACTAGTATATATATACATGCTGAGAACGACAGTTCGTGCCGAATCTATCTAATCTATCTATCATCTAGCTGTCCATCCAATTACTGCTTTATCTTACGCGCGAGCTTACCTTTCTCTCATTCTGCCATTCCTTCGTCAGCTCGTTCAACTCCTCTTCATGTTTCGCTTGCAAATTGTCGATTTTCTGTTGAACTATGCTCTTCCACTTTTTCTCCACCTCCCGAATCTCATTGGCATGCTCCTTTTTAACCTGTGTGATCGTCTCTACTAGGCGATCGATATCCTTGCCTTTCTCTGCCACCACGTCTTTCTTCTCCAGCACTAGGCTCTCGATCTGCTCGGATTTCTCTGTGAGTTCTACTTGGAAATCTTTTAGCTGCTCCTTGTACTGCTGCACGAGGTCTGACTCGTAATTATGTTGACGATCTGAGTGAAAATTAGAGGTTGGTTATTATATTACGTACATTGAAATTTAGGAAGCAATTTTATTATCACTTTTTATTATGTTATTTTATTTTATATGTATACTTTTAAATACAGTGTTATTTAACGTTAAATAAAATATATCCGTTGTTTTTTATATTAAATGAAAATGTGTAAAGAATAACTTGTGTGGAATTGGAAGGAATAAATATTATATTCAATGAAACGTTCCAATCACACAATTTATTTTTTATATATTTTCCGCTAATATCCGTTAATTCCGCTAAAAAATAACGGATATTTTAGAAAATTGAATATAGAATAGAAAATATAATAAAACTGCTAAAAAATAATACATATAATATTTCTCTATTTAATTATATTATATATATTATTTTTATATAGTTATGTGTGTCATAGGATAGATAACTATTGTCTTAATATTGAATTAATGCAAATAATTGATTAATGAAAATAATGATTAAATTCCCCTTCAATTTTCTACTCAATACTTTACCGAAACGTTTCTCCAGTGCAGCCTGCAGCTCCTCCTCCTTGTCTTGCAATTGCGCTTGGAACTCCTTGACCAACTGTTTCAGCCTCATACCCTGTTCCTCTTCGTCGGTTTTTGCTTGCTCCTTCAGCTGACCTAGTTGCTCCCTCAGTTCATTGTTCACTAGTTGCATTTGCGTCTCCTTCGCCTGGAACGTGATCAGTGCTTCGTCAAGCTGCGCTTCCAATCTCTTGTTCTCCTCGTGCAGTTTGTCGCTGTCATCATCATTGCGCACGTTCCCCAGGTCCTTCCTTAACGCATCGACAGACGCGATCTCCGACTGCAATTCAGCGACTTTTTTCTTCAACATGTCAGCTTCCTGTGTCTTCTCGTCGGCCTCTGTGCAGCGAAGCTTGAGAGCCTCAATCTCCCGCAACATGTCGACGCTCTTCTCCTCTAAAGATTTTATATCTGCTTCTTTCCGTGACAATGAGTCCTTCAAAGCGCTCAATTCCATCGACGAATCACCGCTCGCCGAGCGCAAAACATCCAATTCTACTCGCAACTGTTCATTCTCCGTGTTCAAAGCCTTTAATTCGGATACCCTGGACTGCAACTCCGTGTTGCTACTCCTCAAACCTTCTATTTCGATGATTCTATCTTGCAAAACTGCTCGCTCGGTGACTAGCCTGTCGTTTTCTGTACGAATCGCGTCCATCTCGGCGTTCCTTTGCATCAAATCGCCGAGTTGCGAGCGCAACTGCGTATTCTCTACCTCTAGTCTCTTTCTAGTCTTACCGACTTCGTCCTCGAACGATTTCAGCTTCGTAAGTAAAAGTTTGTTCTCTTCTCTCATAACGTCGCCGCTCATTATAGCGGCATTCAACTCCGAAACTTTGTTGAACAGCTCCGTACTTTGCTCGTCGAGCCTCTCCTTGGTCTCTCGCAGCTCTCTCTCGCTCGTAAGCAGTCTGTCATTTAACGAGCTCGATTCCGCGTTTTTGGACTCGAGCTGAGTGTTCACTGCCATCAATTGACCGCTCAAACGTTCCGCTTCTTCGTTACATTTATTTGCTTGGACCTTGCACGACTCCACCTCTCTGCGTAACTCTTCAATATCCTTCTCGTAGTAGTCGATTTTCTGTTTCATCGCTTCTTCATTCTCGCAGAGCTTGCGATTATGACTGAGCAAGTTGTTGTGCTTATCCTTGAGGTCCTTATTCTCCAAGATAATGGTCGCGAGCTGCGAATTCTCCGACTTGAGGGCCTCGATTTGTTTCTCGGCGGCCGCCAAGGTGTCCGCTAATTTGGCGTGCTTGGTTTTTAGCTCGTATAGCTCCGCGTCCATTTCCTCGATGGTTTTACTTTGCTGCTCTTTGAGCATCTTCAGCTTCTTCAGCTGTGCGACCTTCACATTAAGCGTTTTCTGCAACTCCTTGTTGCTTTCTGTCAGCTCAGTTGTCTGCTTCGCGTGGCTCTCCCTCATCGCTTGGTATTCCTCCTCCAAATTCAGACACTTCTTTACGTGCTCCTCGATCGTCTGTATGTGACTGTCGCAGGTAGAGATCAGATGCACCACCTGCTGCTCTTGTTCCGCGATCTTCTCGTCGCGTGTCTTGATCTCATGATCTTTCCCAGCTAGTTCGTCTTGAAAGCGAGCGATCTCTGCTCGTGAGGTACGCAGTTCCTCTTCGCGCAACGCATCCTGGTCGCTGCTCTGCGATTTCAACGAATTGATGAGATTGTTCGCCTCACGCAGCTTTGCGCTCAATTCGTCGACCTCGTCGGCGGCACGACTGACCTGCGCGAGGTCTCTCCTCAGGTCGTCATTCTCACTCGACAACGTTCGGTGCTTAAGTTCGAGCTCCTCCAATGCCTCCAGTCGTTCCCGCAAGCTTTCGGCTTCTCGCCTCGACTCCGTTAATTCACACGAAACCTTCTCCAAGTCGTAGACCTTAAACTGGAGATTATCCATCTCGGCTATCAGCTTGTTGACCAACGCGCCGAGCTCGTCGGATAACTCATCACCTTGCGCCATTGATTCTTCCTTGTTCGCTCTCAGCACCGTCTCCAAAATGGACTTGAGACCCGTGATCTTGATCAATTCCGACCGCAGTCGCGCTTCTTCGGACGCAGACCGCTCCGAGTTTTCCATTTGAGAACGCAACTCTTCCGCTTGGGAATTCAACGTCGCGTTCTCCTCACTGAGCCTCGTGAAAGTTACAGTTAAAGTCGTTTTCAGATCCGACATCTCGGCTCGCCGATTTGAGAACTCCTCGTGCACGGCACCTTTGACATCCGCACAGTCTTGTTTCAGACGTAGCATACAATCCTTGTAGTGGACGAGTCGATTGATTAAGTCACTCCGTTCCTTCTTCAGCAGGTTGATAGCCGAGCTATCCGCCTGGATCTTATTACCAAGGTCGTCGATCGTGGAGCGACAGAGCTCGAGCTCACCCCGCATCGTGTTCAATTCCGTTCGCTTGCTTTCCAGCTCCTGTTGCGCCATGGTGAGTTCGTCTAGGCGGCTTTTCAGTGATTTTATTTGCGTCTCTTGCTCGTTGAATCGATGTTTCGCTTTCTCCAACATGGCCGCATATTGCTGCACCTTCTTGTTGTAATTCTCACATACCAGGTCCCGGTCGGTTAGCGCGTCTCTCATGTTCTCCAGTTCCTTGTCGACGCTCTGCACGGTCGCCTGCAGCTTCTCGATTGTTGCGTCCGCATTTTTCTGCCTCTCCTCCGTGACGATCCTCTGCGCGTCATGCTCGCTCTTCAATTCTGAATACTTCACTTTGTAGTTCGACAGCTCAGCCTGCAACGTCTTTTTGTCATGTTTGTATTCGACACTCTGCTTTTCCAACTCGTCCAACTTGCGCTGCAAGTCTTCGAGCTTGGCTTCTTTCTCGCGTAAGCGAAGTGTCATCTCTTCCAACGCGTTTTCGTCTCTCGACGACTTCGCTGACGCCTCTTTATTGTGATCGACTTCTTCGTGGTGTCTCGTTGAAGTCGCCTGTTGCACGGAGGATTTCACGGAGCTCTCGGTCTTCTCCTTAGACGCGTCGTACACAATCGCACCTTTGTCTGTGACGGAATTCGAGTCGATGTGCGGTGACGACTTCGATTTAGCTGACGGCTCAGATTTGTATCGCGCCACAGCCTCGTTCAAGTTCTCCTTTTCTTCCATTATGTGTTTCAGATCAACTCGCAGCTGTTTAATCTGCTCCTCTTTCTCCTCGAGCTCCCGATGAACCGACAGCTTGTTCTCCGCCAGCGAGATCGCAGACTCCTCTTCGCGTTTATGCAACACGTCCACCAACTCTGTCAAACGCGCGACCTCGGTTTGCGCAGCATTCAGCTCGCCTTCCGTCGCGCTTATTCTCTCGGCAGTAGCGTTCATATGCGCCTCGTACTCGCTTTCTAGCGTGTTCTTCTCCTTTATCACTTCGGTGAACTTGTCCTTGTTGCGCTTCAAAGATTCCTTATACCTTAGTACAAGGCTTTCCAGTTTCTTCATTCTGTCGTTCAGCTGAGCATTCTCCGCCAGCAGCGCAGTGTTCCCGTCGTTGGGAGATTCGTTGGTTAAGTCAATCAGGTTGTCCTTGGAGTTCTCCTCTTGCACATCTGCCTCTTCTGACACCGAATTCTCCAAGGCTGATCCGCCAGCTTGCAGCAGTCTTACTTTCGTGTTCAACGTATTTATAATGTGGTCCTTCTCTTCTATGTCGTTCCTCAACGCCTCCTCCAGGTGTGCCTTTGCTTGCTGCTCCAACTGGCACTGCTCTTTCAGGTCAGTAATCCTGCGTAGAACCTTGTCTTGCGTCTCGACCAACACGGACTCCAACCTTGTCTTGACTCGATCCAGTTCGCGATAATGTGTTGCTAGATCTGTATATCTGCCACGGTATTTGTGATACTTGGCTTGCACCTTACGATAGGCCGAATACAATTGATCCTTGGTGACTCTATCAAGATGTGGACTAATATTGTCGTCTACTTCACTAGCTGATTGATCCATATCAGACTACAAGGACAATATTTTTTTATATTATCAGAAATCATTGTAATTATATTAGGTTGATGCAAAAGATTTGTCTTTTCTATTAAATTCTTTAGGACATTTAGATATTAAAAGAGAAATAAAGAGAAAGTTCCTGTTAGATGTGATAAGAAATATTGAATTGATGTTGTCTGTTATACTTTTGTAAAAATCCTTTGAAATTAAATAATTTTATCTTCTATTTTAGTTGGCAAGCACGATTTGACAAAACTTTTGCATTGACCTAATGTCTTAGAATTATTGAAATTATAATACAATATATATAATCGTAATTACTATACACATTAGAAATTGAAATTTATATTCATATTTAGTTTCATAAATATTTTCTTTAATAAATTAGAAGAATGAAAATGAAACATACCTGCAGCTGATATAGGTTAGGAGGACTCTCGTACATGGGGAATAACGAAGATGCGTCGCTGGTGATGCTGCTCACTGAAGATCTTCTAGAAATCTCTGCGTTGGCAGATGGAGACATCAGATCGATATTCTGAAAACTGTGCTTCACTGGAGTGTTCTTGGGTGTTTCTGTAAATCAAATATCCCACCAGTCTCTGAACCATCCTGGTAGAGTATCCTCCAAACTGTCAACGCAATTGTAAAAGCAGAATATTTACCATCTCCATCCTCTGTCAAACTGAAGTTGTCAGTGGACGCAGACACCTCCTGAATGGAGCTGTTGGACAGGGCGGGTGACACAACAGCCTGAACATAACAATGCAATAAAAGAAAGACCAATTATAGAAATTGTTCGCGATCATATCGAACGAGAAATCTCGAACGAACGAAAGGAGACACCTGCCTGCGCCAACTGCTGCACGCTCGCCTGTAACCTGGCGGGCGACTGCTTCATCTCCTCCGCGAGTTTGTCCTTAAATTTCTTGAACATCCTGGCGTGCGGGCTTGTCGCGGGATATCACAGATACGCGAGATACAGTCGCAATAAGGGGATGATAAGAGGATCAGAACTCGCTGGAGGCAGCGATTGAGCAGCTCGCCGAGCGCTGGGCGGCGCGATGTTTACGTGGACGCGGATTTGGGTGAGTGACGGGCGGAGGAGCGCGGGTTCCAGGAATCTGTGTTACGACGGGACAATCCGCTGGAAACATAGCGGGACCGGAGTCAAGATCTCCCTCCCTTCCTTCCTCCTGCCGCCTCCGCTCGTCGGCAGGATGGATCCTTGTCAGCGAAACGCTGCTCCGAGAGGGCTCGCTGGAAAATCACGCGAGAGCCGAGCTATATTATTCGATTATGTCAGTGTGTATACGTCAAATGTTGATGTGTGTGTGTGTGTGTGTAGCGCGCGCATAGCCAGCCGCCATTACACGAGTGGGCGTCGATGACGTCACCGACCATCAGACGCCGTTTACAAACGGCTGATCTGTCGCGTTCGCGAATGACGTAACCGTAGTGTGGTCGTGACGTGTTCGCAACGAATCCGCGAGGTGTCGCGAATGCCGCCACTTCTTCCGGCGGAAATTGCAAATGGCAGTTAAAGGCGGAGAAGACAAGTTGTTGAGGATGAATTATTGGACTGGCTGGAGAAAAATCAAAAAATTCACAGAGGAGTTCGCTCGTAGACCATTCGTCGTTTGTTGAATAAAAGAGAGTAAGTATGGATTTGCTATAGTCAAATGACTCGTTAAACACTTAGTAAACAATGTATAAACTTTCAGTGTGACATTTTCTTAAATATATTGGGAATGAGCTTATTAAGTACGCGAATATAATTTGACAAGAAAAGAATACTCAAAGTGTTTGATCTTCTTGTAGACATTCTCATTTCAAAATTACGCGCGTAACGTTTAGGTTAAGATCGATCGAGGGATCGAAGATCGGCGGATCACAGAACAGCATTTAGAAAAACACAGCGACTTCTATTGTTTTTTATTGCTATTGTACACTTAAAATAAATAACGCTGTAACACTTGCCGCAATATGTAACATATTGTCAATTACTATACGACGGTCGTCTCTCTCGACTCGCGTAACACATCTCTGTTTTCTCTTTTTATTTTTTTTCTCTTTTCAGTCACACTATCAACAATGTACGTTCGATGTTCGAGACCGGTGATGCAATTGAAGAGAGTATCGACTGTTATTATAACAGTGGGATCTTCGCGGACAGGACATCTCTTTGTATGTACAATCTTATAAATTACAACATTACGAATGAACCCAGTAAACACCAGTTATCATGTAATACATAACATCGATGTTATAATTTTTTATTCAACAATATGACGCAGGTATTCTGTTGCATCGTTGAGTAGGAAATCATATCTTTGATGGAATATTACTGTCCAGATAACACAAAGTTTTCAGAGAATGTTTTAGGATGTTCTTAGGATGTATAAATATCCTTAGAACGTTTTTAGAACGTCCTTTGAAGATTTGTACTGTATAGGTGTTAATTGGTGTTTACTGGGGACAGAGTTCGTCAAAGCTGCGTACCCATGAGGTAATCTCTCTACGAAAGTACAAAGGGAATCCAACGAGTATGTGAATATAGTCGCGCCTGAAAAAACAAAATCCAAGCTGAAGCTTTATTGATCACATTAACAATTTTCATTCTACGTTGCCGATATTATAAAACTCATATGCATTCTATCTAGAGAGATTAGGTACCGTACGGAAAAGAATACATCCCTCTCTCCTCGTTCTTCCTCGATCGTCTGATGCGATAATATTTACCTGAGTTATAAAAGTATTGAGAGAATGAAAGGAAAAGAAAGAGAGAGAGAGAGGGAGAGAGAGAGGAGAGAGAGAAAGAGAGAGAAAGAGAGAATACATCGCGGTACGCGGCGTAGAGATCACACGTCCCCGAAATGCACGGTAATACTTTGGTAATGTACTGGCGGCGAACAATCTAGTCGTGTGTGTAGGGTTGCATAGAGCAAGAGGCAAAATTCCACTACATCTAAGCGCAATTATGATCGCATAAATATTTATAACAAGGATAAAAAAAAGTTAAACGCTATAAACGTCTTGAAAGAAAATAAAGCATGAAGGTATATTATATCTTAAATATATTTATATTATTTTAAATATAATATATTTATTAAATGTATTATATTAAATGTAATATATTTAGTATTAAAAAAATATAACAATATAACTCTACTACACTTAATATAAATAAAATATGAAAAAATAATATAAAATACAAGGAAATTTTGATTATCAAGAAATGAATGTGTTCTCGGAGAACGCGAGTTTGGAGAATTTTAAAATAGACGCGATATTTACATGTCCTCAAAATTATGCTTAGATCGCAATCATGACCTTCTTTTTCCTCTTACAGTGATTTTTACGAAGACTCTTAGAATCCCATACGTTCGCCGCCAGACGGTATCAACGGAACGTTCGAAGCTAAAACGTTACTTGCTGCGACCTGCGAGCTTGAGAACTTTTCCTGCTTCACCTTCTTCCGGCAAGTTTCATCTAGAAACCTAGTCGTGTGTCTATTGTGCATCGCGTTGCGCTCCTGAACTTACTGTGCTTTTCTTTTCTTTTTTTTTTTTATCGAGAGAACTCCTACGCGAAGCACACGAAATCGTTTTCTCGTTCTTGTACGCTGAATTAACTGGACGCTGACGTCTCGTCGTCTCACGGTACAATACAATCTACTTATAGCTCCGTTCACCACGTCCAAATCTCTGCTTGATCCTCCAATTGAACGTGATAAGAAAATAAATTAAAAAACATCGCATCGTGAGAGACTAAGGCCTGTATTAATAAATGTCACTTGAAATTTGTCTCAAGTGAGATGTTCAGATTTTTATTCGGAATTAGATCCAAGTTTTTCAATAATATCTGATACATGTGTTATCTGTAATCAAGATTTATTTGAACAACTCTGAATTAAAATCCGAATATTTCACTTAAGATAAGTTTCAAATAATAACTATTAATACGGGTCACAGACCGCTTTACTCAGGTGAGGTTTCTGCTTGAAAGCTACTTTTCACATCTCGTTTCTATAATCACAATTTCCTCCTGCTGCAACTCTTTTAGATTATGTGATGTATGAACGAAAGGAAACCGTCTAAACGAGTTTGAAACACTATCTTAATTCTGTTACCTTTATCTTAGCTCAATAAATTCATTTCTCTCTTAAATTTATGATAAATTTGTGAACGCGCACATACACTCTGTTGCGACAACTGCTCGCAATTCCGTACGATACCTCACTTGAGTAACGGAATATTCTTTTCTCGCCAGTCGAATAATGCAGCGAGGTACGATAACGCCGCGCCGTTGGCGTCTTCTCCCATGCCGACGGCGACGTTTACGATCTCATATATGGATAATCGTACTCCCGTAGAGGCACGAAGGTCTCCTTGATGGCTTGTGGAGATGCCCAACGAAGAGCGTAGTGCGGTCCACCGGCTTTATCGTTTGTGCCCGACATTCGACTGCCGCCGAACGGCTGCTGGCCGACGACTGACCCAGTGGACTTATCATTCACATAAAAGTTGCCGGCAGTGTATTTCATCTCCTCGAGCGCCTTCTTCGCCCATTTCCTGTAAGTAACAATAAGTGAGAATGATTTATATATAAAATTGAAATTATATAATAATCTAGAAATAATTAAAAAATTATATATAAATTTAAATTCTTTTTAATTTAATTTAATTTTTAAATTATTTAACATTTTTTAAAAATCTGTTAAAAATATTAAAAATATATACAAATATATTGTTCTTTTAAAAATATATACAATTTTTTAACAATTTATATTATATATAATCATAATAGATATTGTAAGAATGTAAAAGAACAATTTGATTATTTGTTACAGATGTGACTTATTGGAAAACAACGAAATGAAAATTTCGTCGACACTCCATAGAAAAGCAGGTAACGTTTAAAACTAATACTTCGAGTATAAGAGCTGTACATTCGTTAAGAAAACGTTGTATAAGTAGTTTTACTTACTCGTCTTGCGCGAATATCGCGCCAGTTAAAGCGTACGGTGTAGACGTCTCTACCAGTTTCATTGTCTCTTCCAGATCGGAATCCTTGTAGACATACACCGTCAGCACCGGACCGAAGATCTCTTCCGTCATGAGCTTCTCTTTCGGATCTTTGCTTTGTACGATCGTCGGCTCAATGAAGTATCCGCGCCTAGAAGAAGACACCCGACGACGGAATGAAGCGCGTGTCGTTGTGCGCTAATAATAATCGCGACGAAACGTACGAGTTGTCGTAGCCGCCGCCGCCGATAACCTCCATCTTCGGCGACTTCTTCGCATAGTCGATGTAACCGGAGATTCGTTTGAACGCGATGTCGTCGATCACGGCGCCGGTGAATATGGTGAAGTCTCGAACGTCGCCGATCGTGAGTTTCTTGCGGAGCTCTAATAGGCCGTCCTTCACCTGAAAGTCGATTAGACAAATGATACGCATGAGAACGTCCCCGAAGACATTCTCCGCTCACCTTGCCCCACAGAGACTCCGGCACGTACATCCGGCTGCAAGCGGAACACTTTTGTCCATTGTACTCGAAGGAGCTCCTGATCGTCGCGTAGACCACAGACTCCACGTCAGCGCTCGAGTGAACAAAGTGGTAGTTCTTGCCACCACATTCGCCGATCAGTTTCGGATAGTTCCTGTATTTGTTTAGATTCTGGCCAACTTGTCCCCAGAGACGATTGAACGTCGGCACCGAGCCGGTGAAGTTGATGCCAGCTAAGAAAGACGAAGACGTGATGGTGTCGCCGAACACAGGTCCCTCGCAGGGAATGAAGTTCACTACGCCGGGTGGCACGCCAGCCTCCCGGCAGATCTTGAAGATCCACCAGTTGGACAGCAACGCCGTGTCGGATGGCTTCCACAGCACGGCATTACCCTGCAATGGCAAGCAAACGAATACTGACTTGTTTTTTTTTTAATTTTATCTAAAATTAAATACTTCACCAAGCGCGCGCCTAAAAACATGGATAGCAAAATATTAGACATATCTAATGTATCTAATCGCGGCTGTAAAATGTTTTATTTTAAACCGAAATAATAGAAAGCTCCTTTGAATAGATAAACTAATAGTGAGATATTAACGGCACATAAGGAGCACTAAGACATCCGTGCTTGCTCCTTATGTGCCGTTAATATCTCACTATTTGTTTTATTTTACTCGTTTCTTTTCGTGGCTTAGAATTGAATTATACTTAATAAATTTGCGTGAGGCAAAGCCGGTTGATTGGTTAACACTAAAGATAATTTGGCGATCTTAACTGCAGGAGAAAAATACAAACCATTAGAGCCGGCGTGTAGCTAAGATTGCCGCCAATGGCGGTGAAGTTGAAAGGTGACACCGCCGCGACGAAACCGTCCATGCCGCGATACCTCATCGAATTGAGAGTCTGCTGATTCGGCGAGATCGGCTGATACTTGAGGCTCTCCTTCACAAAATACGCGTGCATTTTGAAGAAGTCAATCAACTCGGCCGCGCTGTCAATTTCCGCTTGAATTACGGTCTTGCTCTGGCCGAGCATAGTGGCAGCGTTCAGGTGTTGTCGGTACTTGGTCGCCATGAGGTTCGCTATCCTCAGCCACATCTCCAGTCGTTTCTCGATCGGCCACTTCTCCCATTCCCGTTGCGCCTTCACGGCGACGTCGATCGCCTTCTTCACCAGCTCCGGCGTCGCCCAATGATACTTGGCGATCTTGCACTTGTGATTGTGCGGCTAGAAAGTTTACGAACATCGATTACAATCAATTAACTAAGCTTTATTTCGTTTATTGTTTTTGTACATATCGAACACTTATCGATTGTGAAAAGAGTGCAACTCAAATATTGTAGGTGTTTAAAAAGTATCTGATAAAGATAAGACGTCTTTTAGGTCTTTTCCACAAAATGTTTTACAGACATCCACTTTATTTGAAAACACTTTTCATCTCAGTGAGTTTCAGAATAGACGAAAATTGTGTGATTATCTTCACAATTTTCGTCTATTTCGAGACATATCGAGAAGAAACGTATCGTAGCTTTGTTATAGACAATTACGTTTCAATGCCGCGACTTACCATGACTTGATACTTGCAGAGATTCGTCTTGATCTCCTCGTTCCCGATCACCAACGGCACTTCTTCGCAATCATTGCTCATGGTATCCAAGACCTTCTCCAATTCCGTCCGTTCCGAGCTTCCCTTCTTGTAGTTGAGAACGGGTTCATTCTCCAACGGGAAGTCCGGTGGGTTCGGCACCGGCACGATCGATCCCAGGCATCTGGTGCCGACTCTGCCGAAAAAACGATAATGAATTGACAAGTGAGACGAAGATCGCGATTGTGAGTCACGCGAGGGCATAATATTTATTGTCGTCATACCTATTACTACATAATAATTGATTACGTCCATTTGAAACGCTTAAATCAATCTTTTAGTCATTAACAAGTTCAATAATAGACTCCCACTTCTTTTCTGTTGCGAAAAAATAGTCATTAGATTTATCCAGTCAACGCTACAGTCTCTGACGTTTGTTTTCTTACGACAGGTCTCTTGATGGTTCTTGAGATGCACCAGCCGATAACGAGCGAAATTTATCTATCGGTCCTCAAGTCTCAGGTGTAATCCTCAAATATTTATCCGCGGCCACTCACGGTAAGTTCCAAGTCAACAGTTTTATCGGTCACATCAAATATGCACTGGCGAAAGCTACTTGGTAGTTTATGACTTTAATGTCGCTCTTAAGAAAATGCTGTGTTTATTTAATTGCACGCTCGTTGCGAAAATATCGTGCGAAACAAGAGGTTTGTTTTTCGTTCCTGCACTGCTGAATTGGTGCAATAAGTTAGAGCGAGACAAAATGTATTTGTCTCATTCTAATTTATTGCATCAGTTCAACAGTGCAGGAACAGAAAACAGACCCAAGATAAGGCAAGGCACCGGCCGTCACTATTATTAACTGTTGAAATATCGTATTGTACGTAATCGGATATATTTAAACGAATGTGAAATATTGCTCTAATTAATCAACGTTTTACGCGACGAAACGAAATACCGTTACGACACGTCGAGAGGGAAAGGTGGCACGCGTGGCGATATTATAAACGTAGTAGTATTATATAACATCTACTCGGTTTGACCTTCGGCTTAACACGATTATCGGCGTTTACATAATTAACATAAATAAATTATAGCACGTTGTCATATGTCAGATGTAAATTGAGTCGCCGGGGATATCATAATCTTATGCACATATTATCGCAATTATATTACATCAAGTGATTATTCGCAAGACACATTTTTCTCTCAATCGTTGATCTCTTCGAATAATCACCTTGAGATATAATTACATCGTTAATTCGTTTGCGTTCACAAGAAAGAGTAGCTGCGATCTAGATCGATATTTATTCTTACCTGAGTTTATATTTAATTCAATTCTCTATTTGAGATCGTCTCGAGACGGATTCGACGTGCCAGAGTGTCGTTTCATTCACTAAATATAATACTTGTGTCATATAAATATTCATCATGTAATTTAAATAATTAATCTAGTTAAATAATTGCATATGATACAATGTTCCTAAATAGGACAAAATGTAAGACGGAACTATCAATATTAGTTTCAGTTCGCAGCAAAGTTGAAGGAATTCGTTGATCGTCCAACGAAACCAACCAATCGGCTTGATTGGTTCTCTTCAACAGAAGATTAACGGAACGCCTCCGGTGAGAATGATACTGCGGTAACGATTCGACGACGGCAGATGTTACCGCACAACGCACAGCCGTAAAAATACCACGCCTCAAGGTGATTCATTAAAGCGAGAGACGATATCTGACGAGAGATATGCGGGCGAATAATATTAGGACAAATACGAAAACGAGTGCGATATCATCCAACTGTTATTGTCACTGTTGCTTTGGCAATTTACGAAAAGTCATGTCCACGGTTAGAACGAGTGCAGGCGTGGAATACTCGCACAAAACAAAGACATCCGAATGTCTAATTCCGTCCTCGATTCACAGGCTATCGCCTCACGACACTTCACCTTATTGATTGGCATTCGCCGCTCCGAAAAAAATCATCATAATATTGGATCTGGACAATTAAGGCTCTTGGTTCTTCGGACATCTTGATTTATGATTTAAGAAGCGAGGAAACGTATGTCCAAAATTCTTGCAAAGTACGTCGAAGTAAAAAGATGTATTTAAAAAATAACACTTGCAATCAAACGTGGTAAAATAATGATATAAAATAAATGATATAAAATGTAGGATAAAGAGAAAAGCTACATATCACGTTAGTTTTACAGTTACTTATTCTTTGTTAAAGCAAAAGGATCGGAGTATTTTAGAGAATTCGAATATCATTTTTGGGATATTTCTTTATTTCGACTTTGCACGAGTTTTAGGCATGTATTTTCTCATTTTTTTGGCATCAATCAAGAGTTCCACGGCGCGGCACCAATGGTGTGATTCTGTAACTCGTTAACTGCAATAACGAGTTACAGAATCGCACCACAGGAGCTTAGTAATTCGCGGGCAATTAGCTGCAAAAAACTTCTCTAGCCAGACGAAAGTGAAAAAGAGATTTCGCGCATCCTTTTCCTCTCCAATCCTGGCTGCGACCTCACGGACGGTGAGGTGGCATACTAGAATAGAGAATGAACGGTGATCAGTGTTGAACGACAAGGCTGTCAGCTGTCGGAACGTCTGACGCGTTTCTGACAGAACGGGAAAGGAACGGGGAAAGCTCTATATGTGCTAAAAGCTGCAAGGCTCGCGCAACGAGTTCACCGTCGATTTTCTTTTCCCGATCGGAGCAGAAGCGAGATAACCGTGAACTAGAAAGCGACGGAACATCCCTCGTGAAATTGATCGAGCGCATCGACGCGAGCAAGAGCTGAAGGAGGAGAGAGAACCCGTTTACAGAACGCGCGTCGTCGCGCGACTCTAACCAATCGATGAAGGCTTCCTTCTCTGTTCGTAGCGCACGACACTGCGAGAGAACGGGAAGTCGGTCGTTGAAAACATTATTTCGACCATTATCTCGGGGTGACGCAAAACAGTCACCGTGAGGAGCGAAGTTATGCTATGATGACATATTATATTGACATTAATCGGCCATTATCATCAAAACTGAACATGCTCTATCTGTTTGTTCTCCCTTTCTATCTTCTCTGTCCCTGAAGAAGCCGCAGACTCTGGAAAGTCACGTCAAAGTCGCGACCATTGGGATTCAACGCTCCATAGTCGCAAAAAATGCTTGCGTAATCGTCCGCCCCGGCTTCCGTCGATTTTACTTCTCCCGTCCCTTAATTCTTCTTAAGTCCTCACTAAATCAATTTCACTCGACCAATTCCCTCGTTTCGCTCGCGCGTTCTCTGTTTCAGTCAGGATATTGTTGTGTGTAACACAAAGAGATGCTTTCACTCGCGTCGTACTGTTCGCCGAGTCGATGAGAAGGATGCACAAAATGTCAGGACATTCCCGATAAAACTGAAAATTTCTTATCGCCTCAGGTATGTGTCGGAAATATTTCGACGACCTCGTTCGATTGCAATACTCGCCGAAGCACCATCTTTCTCGTATGAGATATTCCTGACAGCAGAAATTTTTGCAAAATGTCTACAAAGAGTCAGGACGCTTTTCAGGCGTATTTTCGAACTTTCTGTTGCCTGGAATAACTGAAACATACAAACTTGACGCATTCTTTCCTATTTAAATTCGATTCGGAAACCATGGAGAGATGATCCCTTCGAAGCTACAGGAATACCTCTGGAGAGGAGCGAAACGCCGCGGGTTCCCGAGGACTTAGAATCACCACGTGAGCGCTCGACTGGATCGAGCGGTCTTACGCAAGGGCCGGCATGGTCACGTCAACGTTCGACAGGTCGACAACGGTATTCCCCGGGTTGGTACGCCATCCATTGGCGTACGCGCGCGTGTCAGCCGACATTAGCCCGCGTTTTGATTGATGAGAGAAGCGGAGAATAACGGCAATCGCACGAAAACGAAAGCACGACACACATCAAACACACACCATCGCATATTGAATTACATCACGACCTCGTGACATCATCGCGCTCGGAATCGCCGTCGGCAGAGCCAAAAGCCGGCAGTTTATCAATAATTTCGGCTAACACGCGCGGGTACCGTTGATACGCGAAATGAGAAATAGTCAGCCATGGCGAGTTCGAGTTTTGCGAGGTAAATGAGTTATCTAGGTAGGACAGAAGGTCGAACAAATAGCGTGCAAATGAGACGAGAGAATGAAAATTTTTCCAAATATTTCGCGAGACATCTCCTCATTTCGGCGTCATTGCGATTTTCTGTTCTACCCGGGATATCCGTCTTATTCACCGACGAATTCGAACATCACCTCGCCGTCGTGTCCGAAATGACACATCGTCGTCGTCGCCAGATGACGATTACGATCATTCCTTCCGGGGAACATAGGCGTATCGACTAAATTGAAGCCTCTTTTGTTCAAAGCACGGGAAATCCGCGCGATTACCACATGATCGATATCGTCACCCGGAGACGACGTCGACGGTCGGTCGGGAGAGGACGACGAAGAGGAGAAGGAGAAGGGCAGAGCAACGAGTGTCGCTGCTTCGATACACCGTGTCGCGTCCCTCCCGGGACTTACTCACTTTTGGGTGCTCGCCAGCAAATTCGCCTGACGGCAAACCAGGCCCAACATCTCTCAGCGGGGACGTGACAGACAGGCAGACAGCTAGAGAGAGTGGGAGATAGAGAGAGAGAAAGTCGGCAAAGGACGTCGTCGACGTCGTGCCCTTCGCGGCCACGCGATCCACGCAGGGTGGCTGACGCGAGGATCGCGACGCGTCTCGCACGCTGACAGGGCAGAGGACAGCACGCCGTGATCCGCCACCAGGTCCGACCTCGTTTCCCGCTTGCGTTCACGCGCTCACGCCCCGCCGCACGGTGCCGCGGATTGCCGAAACTGCGAAACACGGCTGATGCCGACCGCCGTACCCGTCGCGTCGGCCGAATGTCCGCGAACGCGCCGCGCGCTTCCACGTTCCCCACCTTTCGCGGTAACGCCCAGGGACGTACGAGTCGGTCGTGTCTACCTGGGCGATCCGACATGCGCGAGCCTGAGCCACCGCCGTCGCGCGGTTCGACGCTTTTTCGCACATCGACACCTTGTCACCGCGATTGTCGGCGTCGGGCCAACTTTTGCACATGTTCTCTCGCCAACCTCGGGAGTTCGTCCAGACGATGCTGACGACAACACGTAGTCTTTTCCCACGCGTCATCGTTGTGTAACATCCCAGATAGCTGGTAAACTTCTGTAAGATTTCTTTGAGACGTCTTTCAGAAGCTTATGCCATATGAATGCGATCCTCTTGCAGCGTTGAGCAAAAAAAAGAAACGAGTTCGTTCGAACTGAAGCTCCGTAATTAAAATTGCTTGATTTGTTCTTAAAAAATAGAGTAATATTATGTAATGAACGAAGGAAAATTAAAAGTTCGTGCTCGTGATGAAAGCTCTGTAATTCAAAGCTGGCTGATATTATTTTTGAACAAATCTAGATGCAGCAGGTAAAAAAAGCGTTTGCACAGTCCTGAGGTTTGCTACCACAGCGATTTTGTGCTGAAAAGTATTCCTCAATTGACACGCCGCCCTAGTGAAGAAGAAAACTGTATATTCTTCTTTTTCAAAATTATTCAAGCAAGATGTTGGATATACAAATGTCTTTTTTATATATCAAATTCATGAAACTCTTAGCTTCTCATCGATATACAAATTTATTATTTCAAAATGCATTCCTTAAAAAAAATTCCACTCTCCGTCCCAGCTTATGTACGACTTACTTCTACGTGTCGGAAGTGTGCTTTTTCCAGACCGCTAGAAACAATTTGGCCGGTAACAGGACCGAATTAAACGTATCGACACCCCCGCTTTGCGGCGTCCATTACGACCGTGCAAAGTCGGATTAGATTTAATCGAAATCAATGACGCTGAGTTGGGCGGCATGAATGTATATATTGTCCTCTCACACGACGCATTCGTACGTTTGTGTTTACGATTCTTCGCACGACGTGCGAAGTTTCGTACGAACCGGATGAGAAGAAGACTTGGTCTTTTCTGAACTCCGCGATTGATAGTCGTCGATTGTCATCGTCAATTATTCTCTCTGGAGAGCGACCTAAGTGGATTTGATTCTTTTCTCCTTATGAAGAAACTCACTCGTAAGCCAACTCGAAATGCGCCGTGCTGATGCCACCGACCAAATACACTGTTGTGATCAGACAATCGTGCCTAAATGTCAAACATGACGGTCGGGCGAATGCACGATTGATTGTAACAGGGATGTTACGCAATCAAGAGCTCATTCTACCGACTCGATATTTCTCAATATACGTACACGACACATACAACATACATTGTGCACATACAACGGATATACACAGCATCTTTCGACAGTTTTAGCAGAAACCGAAATTGGGAAAAATCATTGATTGGGAATTGGGGAAAATCACGACACTATGCCGCCTTATTTTTTTTTTAGTAGGATCAGAATATAAATAAAAATATGAATGAGAAAACACATGACATGAAATACGTACCACATGAAGTCGAAGAGAAGCATAGGAAAAATAATAAGGCGGTATTATATAATTACTTAACGCTGTCTTTTGCTTCTCTGACTGTCGGAAGTCACCATTATTAATAATGGTTCCTGGAAATTTGTCTCAAGTAATTAGATTTGTATTAATAGCTACTATTTGAAACTTGTTTCAGCATACGTAGACTTGAAAATCAGATGAGTTTTTCAGTTGAATTGCAACCATAGATATAATTTCATTGAAGAACTGGGATTAACTTTGAATAAAAATCTGTGTATCTAACATAAGATAAGTTTTAGATGACAACTATTAATATTGGTCTTAAATTTGAGTTTAAAATTAGATGTGCTTTTCAGTGGCATCGCGATAACGTCACGCATACCATATGATTCAACGGCAAAAAATCAAATTTTTCTGATCTAAGTATCTCACGTGAGACATGCTTCGAATAACGACCATTAATACAAGTTTACAGATCGCAATGGAGATACATCGTGTGCGGTCAAATATATATACTTTACGAAATAGAGTGAAGAGAAATAAAGCCATATTACAACATAATTACCAGCATTAAAATATAATTAGTTTTCAGGTGCACAGCACGTCGTATAAACGCATGTCGTCGAAGCGTATTCAAGTCGTATTGTTTCAATGATTGACGATTTTAACGACCGCGTGATTTTTCGCAAGATCAGTTTCAAAGCAGCGAAGCGCAAGTCGAAAAAATCGATTTATCGACGGCCGCCACCGTCGAGTAAGTTCCAGTCATTGTATTTCCTGCCAAGTACGCTTGTCAACGCGATTTGAAGTATTATGTACGTTTCATATTCGTTATGCCTTGTCACTGCTAATTCGCAACGAACGCAGTGCGAACGAGTCACAGTAGGAGGAAGAAAAGGGAGATGCTATTGTCGATGTTTCTCAGTAAAGCTTATCTTCGCGTCTAACGTAATGCCTGGGATGCATTATGTAAAAGGTGGATCTATTTTTACGCAGCGTCGTATTACTGTTATGTGCGTACACACACACACACACATACATATGTATATGTATATTTATGTGTGTGTGTATATATATATATATATATATATGATACACTTAAAGTTTAAGATTCTGAAAAAAGCACGACTCTAACACACTCGGATCGTCGTAAACATACACGTTCCAAACTAATTCCAACCAGTCTTCCTTTGAATTCGCTGCGGTGTAATACACGCACATACACATCGTCGATTGCTTCGCCAATTAGGGAGAAGCTGAGTTCTCTTCGATATGAAGTCATGCGAGACACAATTTGGAAGGAACCGATGAAGAAATACCCTAATTTTCTTCCTGCTGCATTTGTAATTCGCGCAACAACTGCGCCCGTTGCTTCTCCAATTCGCCCTCAGAGAGCTCGTGGTGCTCGTTGTTCTCTGTGATGGATCCCTCACTGTGAATCGATGGCCGTCTATGTTTGTCTTCCTTTCGCTTCCTCTCCGGCGACTCCTCGGAAGACGGAAGCCTCGAATGCGAGCGCTGCGAAGATAAAACGGACATTTGTTAAATTTGCAGTTTAATTCTTCGCTTCACTTGGAATTGTTGGAAACAGATTCGCGGCGGCAACCCCGAAATTAAATCAAACATTTCTTCACACCGTGAAAGCTTAAAATTTCACAGGTTGCAGTTTAATCAATGAATTTTTCGCGATTCCGAGTGGAAGACACAGAGTCGACTTCGCAATTGAAACTTCTAGTCTAAATACTTGGCCAATTTGATTAAGTAATGTCTTATATAATACGTACGGAATGACTGCGACCTCGCTTCTTCTTGTTCTTTTTCCTCTTAGATTTCCTCGTCTCTGATTCGGAACTGTCAGACTTGCTAGGAATGCTAGGAGAGTGCGACTTGTGCCGTTTCTTTTTTAAACCTTTCTCGCTGCCTTCGGAGTCCTGTTCAAAGAAGTTAAATGTGTTATATCTTTCGCGATTATACATTAGCAAGAAAAACGATTGTATTCAATGACACTTACACTGTGCGATCGTGATCGCGATTTGCGCTTCATTTTCTTCGTCTTCTTTTTCTTGCTTCTGATGTGGTGATGACTACAACTCTCCTCGAGCTCGTGCTGGTATTCCTTGAATATTCGTATCCGTTCGCTCTCCAAGGTAATCGCCTTAAAGTCTTGTTCCTCCTCGATTTTAGCTCTCACTTCATCCCACGTCATTTGGTAGTCTACGTTGAGCGTTTTCAACAAGTTCCTGAAACCGGTCTCCAATTTCTTGAACTTTCTCGTCTCCTCCTTCACACGTTCTTTTTCGCGTGCCTCTGCCTTCTCGAGCAGCAAATTATAAGTGAGCTTCACGTTACCCGCATCCAAAGTGGCAGACTTTCGATCTTCGCATACAACTGTGGCGAATTCCTCGAAAGTTGTGTTTACTTGCACCTCGAAGTTTTTGTCCTTGAGTATTTCGCGGATAATCTTCTTCTCGTCGTGAAAGCGCGATTTTAAATCTTCCACGTAGAATTTGAAGAGATCCAAAGGGGTGGAACCTGATTGGCCAAGCATTGCAGAGAACCGAAGATCGGCTGACAGCATAGGATACAATTCCACCCATAGCGACATTGATGTAAGTTTGCCCTGCTCATGAAGCTCGTCAAGTAAATACTGAAACACAAGGCAATTAAGTGCAGGATACAAAAATGCATAAGATAGCCGATAAATTGAAGTAATAGAGGCTAACTATCAACTTATACTCACTATGAAGGCGTCCCGGTTTTTTCTCTCTTGCCGTTTTCTACGTTTTTTCTCTCGCTCCCTTTCCTCTTCCTCGTCCTTCTCCAACTGGCGAATGTGGTTCTCGAATACAAGTAACGCGTCTTCCTTATCCATTTCTAACAGGTCTGCATCTTCTGCGAACGCGGAATGCTGCAGCAACAACGACTGCGCCTCTTGCCATGTAGTGCGATAAGTCACTTCGGTCATAGTGTCTAAGACTTGCGCTAACCTCTTGGTATTTCTCTTCTTCAGCTGCTTCGCCTCCTCCTTCTCGCGTTTCGCCAGATTAAAAATCACGTCCTCGTAGATGTCTCGGCGATCTGAGTCGCCGACCGATCGCCAAACCTCCAAGGTACCAAATAATTCTTCGCATTTGTAATATTTAGTTGTGCTCATCATTTTGTCGTTCTCTAACAAGAATTGCTCCAAGTCCTCCTTAGCTTTCTTCAATCTGTTAAAGAAAGAAACAAATATGCTATTACCGTATTCTATATTATGTTTATTTATATTCTAGGATGATCCCTTGCTAAAAAACATTATATAAGTTTATGATATAAGAGAAAACTTATATAAATGGAACTAATAACTAATAAATACAATTTCAGTTGGAGTATTAAATAAATGAAGCAGCATTTACCTGAGTCTCTCTTGTTCGCGCTCTTCCTTCAGTTTCTGCGTCTTGTACGAGTTGAACGCCTGCTTACGCTCGTTCAACTTCTTCATCTGTGGATACCTGGGGTCGTTCTGAATCAATTTAACCGCTTGCTCCCACGTAGCGTTTGACGGTACGTCTCGTTCCCTTAACAGTTCCTTGAACGCTTCGACCGCCTCTTTCTTGTCTTTAAACTGCATCTTTGGTTCAGGCGTGCTGGTGCGACTGTCGTTGGCCGAGCCTTTCGCGGAGTTGCTGTCTTCGTCTGGTTTCGCAGGCGGCGTCGGGATATTGATGGCAGCAAGCGTGGCTGCCATCGCTTGTTCGATCGCGGACTTTGCACCCGGCTCAGGAGTACTGGTCTGTGATATCGTCGAGATGTTCGGAGATAAATGTTGAATTCCAGTAGGTACCATATTACTGAAATTATAGAAAACTTGTTAGCATGTATATTGGATCTCCAAGAGTTGGAAATGAATTCTTATCTAAAAATAATCTTAAGAGAATTGAAATTTCACTCACGAATTTGTGGCATTTGCCACGACCGCCGCAGCGGCCGCGGCGGCTTCCTCAGCCAAAATCCGAGCCTTCAACTCTTCCAATTCTGGCGGGATCGTCCACCTGGACTCTTTGCTGGTTACGTTGTGATAATACACCTTGCCGTTCTCCAGCTTGTACTCTTTCCATGGACATTGCGACAGCAACAATTCACTCTGGGTTTTCAGCTCGTCCGGCTTCTCCCACAGCGATTGCTTCGTCACGCTGTTGTAGTAATACGTTCTGCCATCCGGTGCCTTGTGCTCCGACCAGTCGGTCTTCTTCTCCGCCGTGGACATCGTCGTAGTGGCCTCGTTGCTGTTGTTGGGCGAAGGTGGAGGTATTCCCGACCCGGCTGTTATCTGGGGTGATGCGGCGGCTATAACGTGAAAGAAAAGAGAGAACGAGTCATCGTTTGAGTGAGAGAGTTCAGAGCCTCTGGGCAAGAACGTTCGCACTTTAAGTTGCGTTAAGTGTTAACTGTAAACTGTACTATGTAACAAATAGACTTAGATCAACGCACAAGGAAAATCTTATTATAACAGAAACAATCATGCGTGATCAATCACCTAATCACTTATAAGAGATAATATAAAATACATAAAAAATGTTTTATAATAAAAAGAAGCTTAAAAAAAAACATAATAAATTAACATCTTATCAAAATTATCATTCCCATTTCTACAATATTCAATACTGCTTATTCATTTAGTCATTGCGAGAACTAAATAAAGAAAACATAATGTAGAAATCAGTAACACAAATTTTAATAAGATATTGCTTTATTAGATATCTATCTACTGATTATTTTATAATAAAATACTTGATATGTTTATCTCATGATATTGTCTGATCACACAAAATCAAATTTTTATGTCACAATTTTTCTTTGTGCATTGAGCTAAGTTTACTGTTACATACAGCCTTCAATTTATAGTCAGCACTTAAGCCCTGACCTTGCTTCGAGGGGCTACAAGCCGTAAGCAAATTGACTAACTACGGTTGATTATTCCAAGAAGATTATTCTTGGAATAACTAGCTAGTCAATTTACTTACGGTTTAATCCTGATCCACAGGCTTGTTTTTTGTCAAATTGACTAACCACAGTCAATTCATGGAATAATCGACAGTGGTTGGTCAAATTGCTTATGGCTTATGGCTTAAAGCAAGATTGTGAATTTGGGCTTACAACATATAGCCCTTTAAAACAAGTTTGCGATTCGGTGCTGACATAACTTTAAAGCATTACAGACGTTTCTGTGCGGACGCTCTTACACTTCAGATTTACAGATACACTTAGCCATGGATATTAACCTATAACTCCAGCCTCTGGAGGAGGTGCCGCGGTGATAGGGAAGGTAAAACCCGGCGGAGGTATGGAAAACTGAGGCGGCATTATACCCGGAGGGCCTGGCGGTAAACTAGGAGGGGGAATGAAGGGTGCCGCGGGCATAATGGGTGGCACAAAACTAGATGCGAGATTTGGCGTGGCTGGTGGAAATCCTGTCACGGCGGCGGGTGGTGGAATACTGTCGTTCGAGGCCTGGCAATAACGTAGAACGCAACAATGTGGTCAGTCAGTGAAATGCTGCAGTCGGTGAAGTGCGCGATCTCGAAACGTCAATACGAGCATCCTTCGCGCATCCACTTGTCCTCGCGTTTTGTCCCTATGGGGATGAAAGACGCGAGGACAAGGCGAAGTCCCGGAACGGCGTCTTTTTTTAGCCCTTGTCTACAACCTCGCTTCAAGACGTAGGCCGTAAAAGGTAGACCAATTGCAGTCGATTATTCTCCTACAAATCGACCATGGTTGATCAATTTCTTCTGGCTTACGTCTTAGAGTAAGGTTGTGGACAAGGAACGGCGCGCGCTGTCGTTAATTCGTTATCGCCGCTGTATTGATGGATCGTTTCGAAGTGGAGAAATTAATGATCTTCAAACTCACAAGAGCGTCCTCGACTGCGACGGGAGCCGGCTCCGCCCAGGGACGACGCTGAAACGCCGATCGAATTCAGTCTTCCATCGCGAGTTCGCCTTCGCTCGAGACCGAACGTGTGTCGGAATCGCTCGTCTGTTTTTTCACGTCGAAGTGTTCATGAAGTATTCTACGTGTCTTCGACCTCCGGAGTTCCAAAGGAAGGATGGTCGCATAATGCAATGTTTGGATGTTTGGAGATTAAATTAGGTTAGGTTAGGTTTCGTCTCGAAACACAACGTGGAAGACTGGTGTTATCTCGCTTTTCACTGCTGCGATTTCAACGCAAACGCACTTCTGGCCACTCGTGAATGACAGGAATTCGATCGGTTTCGATCGCTCCCGGAGCGACCCGAACGCGTCTCGAGTCGAGGACGTTGCTTGATTAAAAAAAAAAAAGACAAGTTACACCAATGTTACTCTCGATCTACATGCCATTTGTATAAAGAATTCGTCGAGTGGGAACTCCGCCAAATGGAATTTGCGACCGCACACACAATCAAGGCACCGATTACGACCGCGAATCTGTCGCTTGTAAACAAATTACAATTTACAACTCATAACCTAAGCGTTCCTCAACGCTTGCATCAGCTCTCTCGTGACGCACTGAGGTGGTTCGACGGCTCGTCAAGTGATGGCAGTCGTGTACTCTAAACTCAATCGGTAACGTAAAAATGTAGCTGCATTCCGAAATTCACTGCCGATACTGAAAATCTATAGTTTATGTTAGGATGCGTTCAGATTCCCCACCCGGGTGCACTCTATTACTAGAAACACTATAGTATATGTTACATATACTATAGCACTTCTAGTAATAGAATACACCCGGGTGGGGAATCTGAACGCAGCCTTACGTATACGGGAACGGTGCACTTGGACACGGTGCATTTGGACACAGCCAATCACAGCACCGTGTGATTAGAGACATTTGTAGGGTCCCTTGGAACAGCGACTTGTGATTGGACTGTGTCCAATTGCCCCGTGTTCAACTGATATATACCCTACGTATACTTTAGATTTTCAGTAGTGGCAGTGAATTTCGGAACGCAGCCTGTATGTTGCCCGAGAAGTTTGACAGCGGGAATATTTAGATTCTTCAAATTAAATATATGCACTAATTTTTACTTCTTTTCTCGTTGATTTCATCAAACTCTTCACTAATCGTTAATTATTTTATTCTGCTGGACGCGATGATTAAATCGCTCGATTTTTGAAAACCAAGCATGAAGGCTCATCGGAACAAAAATATTAGAATAATATTTATTATTATTTAACATTTACACAGTGGCACTAAATGGTCAAATAACTTATAGATGCATTTGATGTTTTTATCGTGTAACAAACTAATAATACAATAGTTCTTATTTCTCTAACGAATACTCGCTAATTGAAGAATGATACAGAGCCGTTGCCTGCAAGGTTTGTGAATTGGCATTGTCGATTCGCACGACGACGTAATCGCCAGTCTGTATCTCCCTCGTAGAGTCTGAATGCCGATTGATCGGTATAATCGCGGATGGTAGTAAAACTCTTATGTTACCCTCGTTCCTACCTTGCAGGTTCTGATCGGTTCTTCTGCTTGCCTGTTAGTAGAATAAATATATTTTTATATGTAAAGTCCATTTTTTCGTTATTGAATCATAAATGAAATTTGTGAAATCCGTACTTTCTCACTATCAATTATTGTTATTAAGCAATAGTAATTAACTAACGTGTAATAAATGGAGAATACTTACACCTTGCACGAGCACGAGCTGATGCTGTCCTATCTGTGTCTTGTTTAATTTCTCCACCTCTCTTCTATACAACGTCCCCATACGAATCGCACGTTCCGCCTTCACATGCGGCTCAACGTCGTCCTTGTACCGTCGATGTGCCGTAGTTTTCTGGGAAAAAAACAAGTCCATGCTAAGTTACAAAGTTACTAAGTTACTTGAACCAATTCGCACTTAATTTTCCGATACTTAAAACTATTCAGAGAAAATTTTGTATTGATTTACGTTAAGTTTACGATCAATACAGAGAAAAATGTACCTCACGCATACTGTAAGAGAACAGAAAGGCACAATTGTATTTGACTTGCTCTATTAGCGATAACGTGTCTTGAAACTCCTCCTCCGTTTCGCCGCAAAAGCCAGCGATAAAATCACTGGAAAGATACACGTCAGGAAGAATTTCGCGTATATTGTGGACCAGATTCAGATACGCTTCCCTGGTGTAGCCCCGTCGCATTCTATCCAAAACCGCGGAATTGCCGCTCTGAGCGGGTAAGTGAATATGTTTGCAGACGTTTGGCCTCTCGGCGATCAGGTGCAACACCTCGTCGGGGAAATCCTTAGGATGTGGCGACGTGAACCTGCAAACATAATATTCCGAGTAATTTCGTGTATTGGGCTAATTAACGACATAATTAACGTGCATACCTAATTCTCATCTCCGGATCGATTAAGGATACCTTGTCCAAGAGATCACAGAACCTCAGGCCGCCCTTCTTATTTTTGTAAACCGTCTTGAAACCCTTCGCGAGATGAGTCTCTGTGTCAGCGGATACGACAAAATCTGAGCGCGACAAATCTCTGTAGCTGTTCACATTCTGTCCGAGTAAAGTGACGCTTTTTACACCTTGATCTGACAAATGTCGCACCTCGTCGAGTATGCTCTCAATCGGCCGGGATCTCTCCCTTCCTCTCGTGAACGGTACAATACAGTAGGTGCACATGTTGTCGCAACCTCTCATTATGGAACTGTAAATTATGAGTGTATGGTTACACACAAGTTTTTTTGATTAAAACTATTTCTAAACATATGTTTAGAAAAATATATATATACAAAATATCAAAAAATATATATTATTATATATACACATATGCTTCAGTAGAATCCTGATTGAGTCTAACTGGCGTGATATCTGCGTATGTTTCATCAAAGGACAATATAACATTAACAGCTGTTTCGTTATCCGTTATTGCCAGAAGTCTTGGTAGATCCTTGTAACTGTCAGGGCCTGCTATCACATCTACAAGCTTGCCTTTATCTAATATCTTAGTTTTCAAACGTTCAGCCATACATCCTAATACAAAAAAGAATACAAAAGGAACTTGAGTTTACAAGAATCAAGAATTTAATTAAGAACTGTCTTAACAAAGCTCACCTAGAAGACCAATCTTCATAGGCACACCAAGCATTCTCCATTTCTTGTTCCTTATAGCGTTTAAGTACTGCAGCTTGTTCCATACCTTTTGCTCAGCATTATCCCTAATGGAGCAGGTAATAAGCAACACAATGTTAGCATCCTCCATATTCTTTGTGTGTTGATAGCCATGAGCTTTCAATATCGACCATATTACCTCAGTGTCATTTATATTCATTTGGCAACCATAAATTTCAAAGTACACTAGAATAGAACAACAATAATAGTTGCAAAACATAAAAATATAATCAACTGCACAACAAATATCTAGAATACCTTTTTGATTGTTTCCACGAATGTCTTGCACATATGGAATAGGTTCCTCAGTGGGAATATCAATGCTGGATGGTTCTATAAAATCTTTTAATGAAGGTCCATCTTTAATTAAACTTTTAATTGGTGTTTGGCCAACAGAAGTTCTTTCTGTTGCATTTGTATTAATTGTGGCAGCATGTAAAAGCACAGAGGTTTTGTGCATTGCACGATATATATAATGACGATAAGCATTTGTATATTTTTGTTGTCTGAGAAAATGTCTGACACAGTTTCCACAATGCATCTTGATATAATGGATTAGAACCTGAAAATAAAATCTTTTGTCAGAAGACAAAATTAGGCAAAAATAATATGTTGTGACTTGTTGTCACCATGCTTTCAGTCTTCCCCAAAGACATTTATAGCTATACAGCACATAATATTCTTATCTATATTCTTTAAAAAAGAAAATTTCTCTTCTTCTTTTCATTCTATTTATTTCACATTCCAAATAATATTCCAAAAAAGAATTAAGGGTTAAGTGCAAACATGACTTTTCTTTACGGCAGTTAGCACAATATGTAATTTTCAAAAGTTAGATTACAATTAAGATAAAATAAGTAAATAAATAAATTATAAAGGCATAAATTTAGATTAAGTATAAAAGAAAATTTATACATTTAAAAGCCTGTCAAATTAAAAAACAGCAGATACAAGGTGCGTTCGGGGAGCTCGCTATTGTCGCTATTCAGCGCCACCGTGTCACTCTATCCTTGTTGTTTATCCAATAGCATGTTCGACTAGCTCTGGGTTAACCCACTGTGGGTTATTCAGCCTACGTTTATTGGTCGAACAAGTACTTATAAGCTTTATGATTGGCTAGTAGAGACTTATGACGCGATGTCACTCTGGCGGAATGTCACTCCCCCAATTCGGTGGAGGAGGTACGACGGGTTGACGGTGACTACACCCTGCTGAAGCGAGAATAGAGCGTAAAGATATTTTTACATGAGAGCATCGAGCGTCGAGCGTAAAAGCGATAGCCAATCAACATGCCACTTTCCGCAAGGACTACAAGTATACTTCTGGAACCTGATGCGTTGATTGGCTAACACTTTAAAGCTCGACGCTGGAACGCTCCCATGTATTGATACCTTAATGCATTTCCCCCACGCAAAAAAAGGGTCAGTCGGACACGCTATAACTTAACAGCAAATGAACTGACAATTTAGTTACTAGATTTCTGACTCAATGCGTGCTTTCCAATTGCTTAACACATCTTGGCACATATATACACAGAAATGCACAAAGTGTAACGTTGTGCACGATTCAATTAGAACAAAGTGTGTACTAATATGTACGTATGTCGGATAGAGTTAGAATTATTTTTCAACTGTGTTTATATTTTGGTATTTTTTAATAATAAATAATACAAAATAATAAAAAATAAAAAAAATAATAAAAAAGATATTATTCACTTTACGTCGCAATTGCCAGTCTCTTTTCAAGCCACTACGCTTATTAACTTTAATTTTCATTAGAAAACACTAGTTTAGACAGCCGACTAGTAGCCCTCGAATTGAGTACGGATGTGTAGTGTTGTGTCGACGATTACGACAATTGGAATACAACTTCTGTCGCCGTGTGCATGAAAGTGTTTAGGGATATTGCAATTGGAAAGCACCCAATGAGTTCATTGCAAACTCATGCAGTGGAATAGCGGAGCGCGGAATGAGAGCGGAACCAATCACAAGTGTTCCACAGTTTTCGCTCGTGATTGCTTGTGCTCGTGATTGGTTCCGCTCACGTTCCGCGCTCCGTTATTCTGCTGCATGGTTTGCATCCTCAGTCTTTTATTTTCTAAAATTACGATTCAAATTGACGAATAAATTTACCAACACGTTATTTTCCAGTAGTATGATTTGACAACAGATCAGACGAGCTCTTTATTTTTCTTTCTTTTTCTCTCTTCGGCAAAATTTCAAAATCCACTTATTTAAAGCTAGAAAAAAAGAATTTATTTACGAGGAAAACGAGGACGAGTAATGCAAAACTACACGATGTTGCTCTCAATTTGTTTATTCACTTTGTCGAGACGTATTTATTGCTTTACCTAAAATATAAACGTAAAAACGGGACAATCGTTCCAATATGAATTTCGTCTATAATAATAATTATTATTACACTAATATACACACGCTTTACGTTATATTTACACAATTCCGTATAATATATACAACGATGTATGTGTCATTACCGTTATAATAGATATTGTGAAAAAATAGCAATTAATATTTACTAATACCCTAATAAATAATATATTAAGGGAGACATGTTAAATAGTTTACACATCCGTCCCTCGTATTTAAGATTATAAAAATCAAGATGCCGATATATACTTTGAAAAGAAGTAATATCACATTTTTCATCTTTTCTTTCCCTTTTTTTCTGCTAAATGCGGTATTGTATTATTTTTTTCTTCACTCTGTTCTCTACAGAAAAGTAAAAATTCAATTCGTTTCTTTGATGAAATTTAAATTCCAATCAACAATTCTGTGACGCTTATTTTCGTGACAAATCAACAATTCTGTTACACTTATTTCGCGACTTTGTTGCTTGATAAAGTTCGCAAAATTCGTTTTCGACAGATTCGTTGCTTGTCTAATGTCGTAATCTTTTTTGTGAAACTGCATCGAACTATATTATAAATATCATTACACAGCTTACAAAGTACTTGTAAAAAGTGTGTATGTATGTGTGCGAAAACGTAATCTCGCTTTGGTAAAGCACGGTGTGGCGGTGTTTTATTATTATATTGTTGTCACAGCACCTAATCAAGAAGATTCACGCGAGAGTAAGATCATTTCAGAGTTCTTTTCTTTTCAGCTCGTTACAAAAATTCAATATCGTATTTTTTAACAAAGTATAATAAAATTATAGCTGCTGCAAAACAAAAGGGGTTTCGTCGCGATCGAGGTAGTCGGAACTTCATTCTCCTACTCCTCTCTCGCGCATTCTCCTTAATTAATTATATCTGTTTAAATTTCCTTTACACAATCGCACTTAGTGTCGCGTTTGTTTCGTTCTTTAAATTCCTATTTAATTTTTTTCTCTGTTTCCGGAGCGAATAAGCGTCTAGCGTCATTGTCCTCGTGAGACTCGGCTAAGCTCCGTCGTTACTCCAATATAAAATAATCCACGAGATATATTCAACAGTTGTTTTTCTCAACTAATAAATACAATATCATCTACGTTTCTTTTTTCCCTAAAGAGAATATGTCGGACCTGTTATCGTCCGCGAGAAGAACACATGGTTGATTATCTCACTTGAAACGTTAACAAAAGCTGACAAAGTCCGAGGAAGAACGCTTCTCGTTGTTCTCCTCGCGAGATTACGTTGTTTTCCACGGACTTTATGCAAAATTACATCGCTCTCGCAGCAATGATATAACAATGCCCGATGATATGTCTACGAATTTGTCATTTCGCCAAGTTTTCGCGTCTCAAACATTTCTCTTCCGTCAAGGGAAATTTAAATAATAAACTAAAAATATAGATAAAGGGAAGATAAGAGCCAACTGTAGCTGTAATTACTGTATACATTTATAATATACTACATACGCAGGTACAGATTATATCTTAATATCAGAACGTCTTGACCGTGTGTTGTGTATGGTCATTCTCAACTGAAGTTACAAATTACAATAATTTGTACCTTTGTACACAGGTGTATTATAAAGTATGCAAGTTAGATCAACAATTGGCTTCTGTCATCCTTCCTTCCTATATTTTTTATTTCAGGACTATATTTACAATCTTAAAGAACTACTTAAAGAGTACATTCAAAGAGCAGAATTACAATCATTCATACTTACAATGATAAAGTATCATCGCAACAATACTTTGTAAAGTATAGGATAATACAAGTTACGTCCGACGTGGCTCGTGAACAGCCAACGCGCTTTTTTTTTCTTCTTTTTTTACTGACGTGATGGCTTATCAGGAACACACATCGGACGTGGTTCACCGCTGCGTAAACACAGCGTTAAAATCACAGGCGAGAACGATAAGTAAGATAATCATCCTCGTTTAATCGTCATTAGCCCTATAATATTTGGTCGAACCACTCCTAAGTCTGAGAAACCACAATAAGCAATTTTGACATTCGTAACTGTCTAGCAGTATTAATCGTATAAATAACTATCACTATTAACATATATTATATCATAACGTGTTGTATTCTATCTTCCTTCAACCCACATGTATCGAAGAGAAGCGACTTCTGCCATCGGATTGCCATAAATTACCCGCGCGCTAAAGATTCGAGGATCAAACGCAGAGTGCAAGTGCTCAGATTTCAAATGTAGTTATAAGATACATAGTAAAGTTTTTGGATTCTGTCATATATTTGTTCGCGATTTCATATCGTGACATTACAGTGGACTTTTGGTCACCTTCATCTTCGATTCAAACAGCAATAATATATTATAATATATTGTTACAACAATCATATGCGATTATTTTTGCACCGTGTCCCATATACAAAAGTATCGTGATATTGGCTGCTCTTCTTTTTTTTCACTTGTATGAACATTTTCCCATTTTGTGTATAATAACGGAATTTCGATCAATACCGTTGTGCAACATTTTCACAAATACATTCCCTGCCTTAACATATAATACATGCAACCACGATGACGTTAGACCTATTAATGGCTTATTAAAGACCTCGGAGACATTGTGGGTTGAAGTTAATACATTCATTAGTATAGTCATCATCACACTGATTTCAAATAGCATCAGGCACTGTCAACCCTTTGTAGAGAATTCCGCGAAATAATCTCCCGAGAGTTCACGCTCTCGGTGTCTCGAGTTCTTTTCTTTTTATTCTTGTTTAAGCATTAATAACGTCGGTGTAATTATATATCTACGGCACACGGATTCTCGTGAGTGTGACGGTTTAAGCGCAACCTTTCACGCAGAGGAAATTCCGAGTGAGCGAATTAACGCGCGAGAGCACGGATCTCCCACGATCTGATCTCTCGATATGTTTCAGCTACTCGCGGTGAGGTTGCGAACGAGCGATAACACTCGGTGGATCTCACTCAATGTCCACTGGTAAAAATAAAAAGAATAATATAGCTTCGTCAACGAAGTTCACACAAATGTAATTTGCAGCGAAAATTTGTCGATACAATGTTAAATATATTGGCATTTCCTTAAACTTAGCATAGATCACAAAGTGACGTATACTGTTCAATAGAAATATAATGACAAATATAGGAGTAAAAATATCAATACAATTTCCATAAACTATACTAAATTCAATAATATCGATTGATGAAGACTGGCTTCGATGAAGTTGGCAGAAGTCGTATCTTTCTCTTTTCGTCCGTTTCGAGGATATGGTCATATATTTTTTGTTTCTTTTTTCGTGGTAATGGAATTATATATCTATAATTCCGCCTTTGGCGTGTGCTAGTAATGGAACAGCTGAACTTATGATTCCGTCTAAATTACACGGAAAACAATATTAATAAACAAATATGAACATATTAATAAACAAATGTGAACATATTTACAATCAATGCGTTTGAGCACGGATAAGAATTTTATGCAAATAATTATTAAGAAATATAAAAGAATTCTGCATGTATAAGAGACAGGATTCCATAAAAAGTTATTTCTGCTAATTTCAATTAATAAATTCTACGAAATAAATTATTGCTTTTTCGAGAGAGAGAAAAGAGAAAGATACGATACGATATACATCGAAACTTCTATTAACTAGTCACTTGCAGCGCGGAAAGTAAAAATTTTCCCAGTATTGTGCCGTAGAAATTCGGCGAAGGACTATGTGATCAGGGTTGTGCAGGTCTTCCCAGTATAAAAAAAGTAAGCTTATTGTAAAATTCAGACCGCTGCCGAACTTTGTGAAAACTTGCACAAGAGTTCTTCGTCTCTCGCACGATAATTAATATTTTGCGCTATTAAGATAATAGCGTTAATATAAATAAAGAAGGCGTATGTATCTCAACAACTTATTTTCGTGGCACCGTTGTGATTCAACTTGTGATTCATCGCGCAGGTATTTTCCTGGATACTTTTGAGGTATTCCTTTAATTTCGATGCCAGGTGACTTCGCTTGAAACGCATTGCCTCGGTCACTACAAGGTTAATGAATTCGAGTCGAGTGTCTAAGGTTCCCTGAATTTGTTTTAAATGTGAAAACAGTTCCGTGTAATCTGAAAAAAAAAGTCTGTTAGCCATATACAATTGTGAAAAAACGGTGAAATTTATAAAGTAAACTTATCGAAAAATACAAGAAGTTCTATGTGATTACGAAGGTATATTGTAAGAAATCAAGTATTGTCATTAAAAATAGAGAATGGAAGAAATGTATCGTGGCATGGGTAGTTTGATTGCTAAAGTAGTGGACCTTCAAGTGAAAGATCCTGGGTGCGATTCCCGGTCCAATCACTCATATCTGGTTAACTGTCTTTCTCATCAAAATAAAATGATGCTCACATCAATGCAAGCATTAATTTAAATGCAGCTATATGGTATTATGACTATTGTAACTATGTTACAAAGAAAGCATCTACTCAATATATCAATGCATTAGTTCATAGATGTGTTAAATTAATTTTTTAAACAGACAAAATGTGCCCAACTAATAAATCTGTGAAGAGACAGGTTTATAAAAATGATGGAAAAGAAGAACTAATTATGACTTCTATATATAATTAGACTGCTAATTTCCTTATACACAATATAAAAAATAGAAAAGTATGTATTACATATAAAAAACAAGCATATGTGCAAACATATTGTAAGTAATATAGAAGGGGAGGTTATATATATATAACCTCCTCACACGCACGCACGCACGCACGCACGCACGCACGCACGCACTAGCGTATGTGTCTTCAAGTAATCAGATATGATCTGATATTGACTATCCAACTTATCCCAATCATCTTACTAACATACTACCTACATGTGCATCCAAGTTAGCAGTCTAATGTACAAAAGTCTATGGAACTATACACTATAGAGTGCAGCGAAACAGACTACTTGTCATCCCCCAATATAGCTTCCTCTATGATTCTAAGGAAGCAATTTAAGTGTAATACAATGCCCCTCTCTCAATTACAAGGAACAAAAAATATACTAAAACAAAAATTGTTCTTTAATGTATAATCAATGACATAAAGATCATAATTATTTTTTCTGTAACATTTATGACATCCCTATCTAAAAGAATTTTATATTCTTGTTGCCATTAAAATATGAAATTAGAAGGGAAGAGCAATCGTTTTATATACTAGAAACATTTTACACGCTAACTTATAACTTTAACTTACCATAGCCCTTTCGTCGAACCTCCTTGAAGATGAGCTTTCGTATGTCCAGATTATGTCGCCTAATCTCCTCCAACTCCTTCTTCGTCAGCTTTCGCTCTTTCTCAGGCCTTGGTTTCTCCTCCACGTGGTTCGTTAGTCTCTCCTCGGAGGGGGCACTATCACCTACTTTCACACTGTTCTCTAGTTTATTCACGACGCAATCGTTAACGGGCTGCAACCGGTCGCATTCGCCTTTCACCCCGTCTGTTTTTTCACTTTTAACATCACTCTTTGTATTCACATTATTGACGATAGGCGTTAAAACGGGCGGTGTATCCATGTGATTGTTAACATGTTCTACCGGCTCGAATAAAGGTATCGTAGGCATCTCCGCGAGCCCGTTCACCAGCTTCTCCGTCGGCTGCGCGTTAGAGCACGGCGACGCATGACTCGATGACACGAGGCTCGGCGACGCGTGACTCGCCGTCACGTTGCTCGTGCAGATCGAACTCGGCGAAGAGCTAGGATCGACAACCGACGCCGACGTAGCCGCCGTTGTCGTCGTCGTCGTCGTCGTCGTTGTCGTCGTTGTCGTTGCTGCTGTTGCTGCTAATGCTTGACTTTTCGTGTCCTCCATCCACGGGATCGGTGAACTCGGCGGCGTGCTGGAAGGCGAGTACGAGGGTCGTCGTACGACCACATCCTTCGGTATTGGCCCAGGTTTTCTCTTGTTAGGTGGCGGCCTCGGGGATGGCGGGCCGCTATCTGACTGCGACAAGGTGCGCTTAAGACCACCCTTGGACGTGGACGAGGTTGCGCCCACGATGTCAATGTCCGCTTCATCCACCATCATTCTCTTGTCGATCTTAAAAGGATTCCCTGTGAAACATTGGTAGATATGTTTACGCAATTTGCACCACATGTGTTACAAAATTATTATTTAACAAGTTCCAGTCAAATTGGTCAGATTCCAACCCTGTTAAAGCATTCCAAAAAGTTTTTTGTCAAAAAATTAAATATATAGAGGGATTGTGATACAACCGACCTAAATGTGTATTAATATACACTAATGCACCCAATCGAATCTGTTATCTTTTTTACTCTAAAACATTTGTTACACCATGAATCTTATCCTATTTTACTGTTACAACACTATTACGATTATATTACTGCTACATACCAACCATTAAACCTTTTTAACAATGTAAATATAGGTGAATGTATCAAAAGTGAAAGTAAATACAAGTGCATGTGTAGGTATAGATGGATGTGTATGCATGGAAATATAAATGCAGAACGTCTGGAAAATTATGAAAAATTACATTTGTTACAAGTAATGCGATGTGTTAGTTTTTTATAGTAATAAAATTGGGTGACTTACCGAACATATGCTGTCTGACTGGAACGCTCTCAATCTCTCGCAACGGTGGTGTCATGCGTTTCAAATATTCTTGATAATTTCCCATTTGAGCTAAAGGCATGGAGTGTACGTAATCGTCGTCAAGCAATTTCGTGTGCAACAAGCCGGGCTGTAAAAAGTTTGCGCGCATTCTCACTACTTGATCGAGGAGAGTCTTTCTGGGGACGTCAAAGGCGTTTCTGTAACTGTGCGCACCACGTTGCTGTTGCTGATTCCTAACCAGACCAACTACGAAACCACCGAATTCGTTCAACTGATCGCGCAAACCAGTGAACTTATCTTGCAATAACGGATGAGATACCTGTAAATAACACATACCCTTAGCATATATGAAATAAAATGCATCCAATATTCAATATCTCAATGGGTGTTTATGACAATTAGGACCTGAGACTTTTGCATAACGCATAATGCATAACACATAAGGAAATCAATCAGAGTCTTTCATTTCTATCCTGGAGAGGAAAATAAAGGTCTCTGATTGGTTGATTGCGTTATGCGTTATGCTAAGGGTGCTTTCAAAATATCCAGAGTTGGGTCGAGTTGAGTTAGTTCCATTATAGTATATGTAATGGATACTATAGTGGGACTAACTCAACCCAACTCAAACCTGGATATTTCGGAAGCACCCTACGTCTGTGCTCCCAGCCTTAGGGCCCTTGCAGAATGCCAGGTAACAGGCAATATGAACAGAGAATAGAAATTCTGATTGGTCAATTATTTCTATTCCTTGTTCCTATTAACTATTGCCTGTTCCTATTGCCTGTTGCCTGGCATTCTGCAAGGGCCCTTAAGCCCGTATCAGACTACGGATTAAGATTGAGATTAAATTAAAAACTAGCCAATCAGAGCAAAGTTCACCAAACTTGAGCTTAGTGAATTTTGCTCTAATTGGCTAAATTTCAATTCAATCTCAATTCTAATCTGTAGTCTGATACGGGCTTTAGAGTTAATTCCACTAAGGCCGAAAATTATGATAGGCACGACCATCTAGTACTTTTGTAGTTTATGACAACTAATTACTTCTAACTCATTGGGTGCTTCCGAAATGTCCAGGTTGAGTCAAGTTGAGTTAGTTCCACTATAGTACCCGTTAAGCCCGTATCAAACTACTGACTGCACAGACCGATCCGACTGCCGACTCTCAATGGACCAATCACCGAATCGGCGCCTCACTGTGATTGGTCCATTGTGGAGAGTCGGCAGTCTGGTACGGGTCGGCTGTGCAGTCGGTAGTCTGGTACGGGCTTTACATATACTAGTGGAACTAACTCAACTCGACCCAAACCTGGACATTTCGGAAGCACCCAATGTCTTACTATAGGAACAAGCTGGAGTAAGAAGTAAAGAACGCGTATTCGACATCAGGGCATCATGAATCTTTTCATTCTATGGATCATATAACTTCTTTTCCTAGCATGAAATCGTGAAAAGTGAGCAATTTCTAAATATTTCTAATAATTATTATAAACTTGTTTTATTTAATGCACATCTGTATTTATAATGCATAATATACTGTAATCTTTTCTTTATATATTTTATGCAAAATTCTTTATCATATAATTTCAATTTTAAAAAAGTATGCAACCATACAAAGTAAAATTCACTGAAACAGTTGTCCACATTGTTTTGAATTGTGGAATACGCATGCATAATATTACAATTTACATATTTGCGCATGATGATAGTATTATACTATTTTTCACGTTTTAGCCATCAACCATGTAGGCTAAAACGTGAAAAGTAAGTGTGCGTATTTGTAGTATTTATATGGTAATATAAAAATAATCTAATGATTTCTTTGTTGGGTGTTAGCCTATGGATGTTTCCGAAATACTCAGAGTTGGATCAAGTTGAGTTAGTTTTACTATAGTATATGTATCAACTCAACCAAGCGTATTTGCATAGAGCATAATTATATTAAAGTGAAAAAATAATAGATTATAAATATTCTCATGTTTGCTTATAATATTTCTTCATGTTATATATTATTTTTTTAGAATGAATGTAACACACAAACAAAAAATAAAATAATAAAATTAATTACAATAATATAATAATTAATAATAATAATTATTATATTATTATAATTAATTTTATTATTTTATTATTTTATTTTTTGTTTGTGTGTTACATTCATTCTAAAAAAATGACTTTATATAAGTATATATGTAGATTTATACTTACTAAATCTTTCTTTAATGGTGTTCTCGGTATAACTCGCACTCCTTCCGTCACCGCGCTTGTTCCACAGCTGGACAAATTTTTTGTAAGATTTGAAGCTGTAACTTGCTTGGAAATCACCTCGTTACAGAGACGATCAAACTCGATCTTGGCTTGATTCTTCATACGCTTCAGATAATTCAAGACACTGTACGACAGAGTATTGTCCATACTATCCGGTATCAATGTCTGCGCTAAAGCCGTAGGTGTGCCCATCCTGGTTAACGCTCTTCTCAACGACTGTAAAAAATGACATGACATCTTAGTAACGATTTCTTAGTAAGATCTTAGTAAGTTTCCAAAATTATACATAATCGAGAGTTTTGTTTTTGCACAAGTTTAGTCTTTAAGGCCACATCTTAACGAGATTAAAATAAAGATTATATGGAGGATTTGCAGAGAATTAATTGCAGAGGATAAACATTAAACTCTTAAGAGTCTGAAAATAGATAAGTATACAACTTAGTGAAATCGATATCCGAAATTAGAGAAAATGTAAGCTATAAAATAACGCAACGTTTCTTTCAGTCAAAAATAAGCACCTTAATTGTTTACCAGTAGAGTTAAACTTACAGCGGCGTAATAAGTGGGCATAGTTCTCACGTAACTCTGGAATTGCGCCCTCCATTCGTTGGTCGGCTTCAATCTGTGAATCTTGAAGAGATCCTCCAACAGGGGTAGCAGTACGGGATAGTTATAAGGCATAACAAAGAGATTAACGCAGGTTAAATTTGTGCTGGCTTTCAGATAGCCAAATGGATGGCCGACTTCACTCGACTTGTAGGAGTTCGCAACGAAGACCTGCCAGCAGATCGTCGGTTGCTTCCGTGCTAGTATGTACTGTGTCAACGGGCTCGGCTCCAACTCGTACTTGTCAAAAGGTAGATTCTCAATCACCATCGGCTCCTGGCTGGTGCATGTAAATTTTACGTTAGGATGCGCAGATCTTGGTGGCAACGAACTGGCACTTAGATCCGGCCAGAAACTCTCGGGAATCGGCCAGAATCCGACCGCGAATCCTTTCTGCGCTGAACGCGGTACATAAATCAATCGTCGGCAAGAGTGCCACGCCGTGTTGCCTGGCACTATCGCGCTGGGATACTGCGTTCGGGGACCGTTCGCCGAGTTACTCTCCTCTTCGTTCTCCTCTTCGTCTTGGTGTGACGTCTCGTTGGTCAATGGCGGCGGATCTGGGCCGATTTTCTCGAAATTTATCACCACGCCCGACTGGACCTTTTGCACGAGAGAGTCTATGCATTGTATCATCATTCTGAATGATGTAATACAATACGAACGACCTAAAAAATTATATTGATGAAAGGATATTAAAGAGGTAAGACTTTAATTTCAAAATTGTATTTAAGTCTTTAGTTTCAAGCTTGGATTTAAGCTTTACATTTTAAGTTCTAGTTTAAAATCCGAATTGAAGTTGGTTCTTATTTTTTATATGCAAGATTCCAAATATTAAATTCTATGCAAAAGATCTTTGGTAACACGAATAACAGAAACAATTCCGATAGAAGTTATCAGGATTAAAGGTACCTCCAGTCACTTCACACATGGCATCTATTGGCGATGCATCGCTTGCCACTAGACCAATATCTCGTTCGACCGCCGGCGTTCCCGATAATCGCAACACCAAAGAGAACAATCTCTGATCCCATCTAAATGGCTCTTTGGTCAACTCAGATCCAGGTATAGGTGAATGCATAGGTAAGGTAAACTAATGCATAGGTAAGATAAAGAAAAAATTGATTTAATCAATAATCTAATTTTCAAGTTATTCTTTGATGAATAATTCTAAGATAAATTTTTAGATAATTTTTAAATTTCCAAAACATATTTCAAATTTCTTTTAGAGGAATTAAATGATTATTTTTTAATAAAATTTAATTTAATAATTTAAATAATACTTTGTCCACACACACACACACACATTCTCATAATAATGAGGTTAAATTACACTCACATCTTGATTAACTGCGTTGTTAGTTGTGTATTTTCCTCCATCTGTTATAACAACTATAACTGATGGTTCCAAGTAAAATGGACATCGTCCCTGGCCATATGTATCTATACCAGTCTGCATACGATTAATATTAAGCACATCCAAAGCATGCTTTAAGGCAGCACCAAGTGTTGTTAAACCAGTGCACTGTAAGTTCTTCAATTCATTCATAAAGGTTGCTAAGTTCTCCTTCCATCCTGCCTGTAAAAGATAATGTTTACAAAATCATTATTCATCTTCTCCAAAAATTTATTTAAATAGTTAGAAAAACAAGTGTATGTAAATTTAGCAGTAACTTTACTAGTTGATAAAAGTTGTCTCTTTGTAATCCTCTCAAATTAACATATAACTTGGAGACAACATGACATTGTTGTTGAACAAGATCGAGCTTATAAAAAAGTTTGTATAAAAGTTTGTAAAATGTTAGCTACGATTGTCATCAAGTAAGAATAAGCATATTCATATATACATGACGTTTTCGTACTGTACATGCAAAGGCCCAAGTTCTGAACTCTCTTTTATCGATAAAAGTGCCTTGAATATAGCTTCTCAGCCAATCAAGTGGTTTTTAAGCTTCTTTTAAAGATACTTTTTCCTTTCTAAGGTTGCATTCCAAAACATTTTTTTCGATGAAAATTTTTGCTCTTAAATCTATAGTTCACGTTACATACACTATAGATTTAAGAGTAAAAAAAAATTTTTTCGGAAAGGACGTTTTGGAATTGCAACCTAAAAAGACATGTACGAGATTTAATTGTTGCCGCTTTTCCGCGATATTGATTGCGCTTATTCAGTACTACAATCGCTCATTGAGCGCTCAGTGAGCTCTTACATCCCATTGGTATATTCTTTTAGATCTCAAAATATATACCAGTCAAATGTAAGAGGTCACTGAGCGCTCAGTGAGCAGTTGTAGTACTGAATGCACCCATTGGTTCTCTCGTTTCGCTCACTTTATGTAGACTGCGGCTTGCTTCATATCATTTGCGCCTGTCAAATTACCAGGCAAATAGCTGTCATCGCGTTGGTTAGGTCACGAAAAAAAAATAAAAAAAAAAAATGTTCTCCCTGTCTCTCCTTATCTCTCTTCGTCTCTCCCTGTCTCCCCCTGTCTCCCTGTCTCTCCTTGTTTCTCCCTATAATTATTAATTAATTAAAGTATATTTTAATTTAATTTTTTTTTATTTTACATTTTTTATTTTTTATTAGCTATATATATAGCGCGCGCATGACTGTTTTAGTGAATAGATAAAAGAGGATTGAGAATATGGACCAAAAAGAAGACAGTATGCAACGACTTACACACGAAAAATAATGTTATTTTTTTCCTTTTAAAGGTTTGAATAGTATCTGGAATTCGACATCGAGAAATCAAGGTGTTTTACGATGGCATGAAAATAGCATATTTAAAAATTCTGCATAGTGTTTGGTGCGACATCTGTAATATGACACAACATTTGCCAGAGGTGACATCTACAGTATAATGCGGCATTTACATGGAGGCACGACATCTGTACGAGTGAACGACAAACATCTCGGTTGTGGATCGCCGTATTCGCATGCATGACGTTCGCAACTGCGGATACGTGGTGACAAGGGGGATGTGCGGAAGTTGCAAGCAAGAACAGGATTGACTCGCGCAGCTTCGTATGCGAACTAGCCGGAACCATTGCACGACCTAACCTGATTTACCACGCGAGGAGCCCGAGAGAACACGAACGTGCTTTACAGCAAGGAGGGATTTTTGGAACAAATGCTTTACGACTGCTAAATAGGGATATGCAGTACAGAATGCAGTACAGAAATCGAATATTGGATATGGAGTGAAAACGTGGGATGTAGAGAGGGACATTGAGGATGGGGAATGAACGAAGGCGGGAATATGTAAGCGGAGGGACATATACCTTGATGTTCTGAGGCGGATCTTCGAAGGTCAACAGCATGTAACGATCTCCACGACTCTCTGGCGATCTTTGTCGAACCTAGAATATGATTTTACACATTTGAAACTATATACAACCACTCAATATATATGCCTATACACACACACACACACGCGCGCGCGCGTGTCCACAGGACGAACCATCGACTACCGAGGTTATCACAATCCGCGTCACCTTTCTCGTCGTCGAGGAGGCCAGACTAGGTATTGGAGCAAGCGAGCGGACAAGAGAGAAAGAGACGGATGTACTTCGTCTCTGTTCTTCGCTCTCTCGTCCCCTCTCTCTACCCTTCGTACAGCACAAGCACACGACGCGGTGACGAGGACGAGGACAGCAGCGCGGCGCGTAATAGCTGTCTTGACAGACTCCGGACGGCGTACCTTTACGAAGGTCTCCACGGCGCTCTTGGCTACGTCCAAGAGCGTGGGCCGTCCGCCCAAATAAGCCCTCTGATTCATGGAGGACGATGTGTCGATCAAAAAGACTATTATGGTCATCTTCGGAGATAAGACGGTGACGACGACGACGACGACGATAGGGACGAAGCCCGAGACGCGCGCGCGCGCGCGCGTCGTAGCGTGCTCGTGCTAGTTCGTGTGCGAACTGACTGCGATCCTACCGTCACGATGTTGACCCGTCGGAACTAGCTAGTAGGATGCCCTATGCCTACAACGACGACTTCGGTGGCAACTACGCTGGTAACGGCAATGATGGAGGTGGAAGTTGTGGCGGCAGCGTGGCGCATAGCTGCCACGACCATTGAACGGCTCTCTCCGAATACGCTCTCCGAATACGCTCACCGAAAAACTTCTCTTTTATCGTAACAGCGCTCGCTTGGTCGTTTCTCTCTCTCTCTCTCTCTTTTTCTCTCCGTCCTGCTCCTCGCTTTCCGACTCGCTTTATCTTCTCTCTCCCTTTCTTTCTCTCTCGGATTATCTCTCTCACTCTTTCCTTCTGTATGCTCGTATGTGCGCATTACATATATGATGTGTATGCTTCATGTTTATATCAAGTGTATGTGTGCGACTGTAATTCGAGGTGTGTCTTTGTGTGCGAGTATCACGCGTCTTTCTCTTTCTCCCTCTCTCTTTCTCTTGTTCCCGCTTGCCCGCCACCTATCCGCGCCTGGCATTAGCTGGTGCTACTCTATCACTACCGTGAGTTTCGATTCCTTTTCCCTCAGATGCGTGTCGAAGACTTTGCCGGAGCTGTGTATCTTCGCTACTGCTGGATACTGGTGATACAGTAACAGCTGAAAATCACTTGAGAAGTTGCGTATTGGTTAGGTCTCTCTGCTAGACCTGCGACTTCGGTCGTATCTTGTCTCTCTTTCTTTCTCTCTTTCTCTCTCTTTCGTCCTCCATATATATATATTTCCCCTTCCTTCGCACCAGCCGTTCCTGCCCAACTGGCAGCCCTTTGCAGATGTACTATCTCTCTCTCCGTACAAGGTCTCCGTACTAACCTATCTCGCTCGTCATACTCCGTCGACATTTTCCGTCCTCTTTTTACCACCATTTTGGTCATTTTACGCATGCGTACGTACGCGGCCACCTATGGGTGAAATGTGCACGTGATCAGTTCAGAGGTCTGCTATTGGTCTCCTACCATGCTGCACCGATCCCTCACGTTAACTACACTTTCTGCACCTTTCCGCTCCCCTCTCACCAATGCGATCGCTGACTCGCGGCGGCGGGAAGGGTGCAGACACGCTGGGTTTCTTTTTCTTTTCGATCGACTCGTCTACTATGGTCATCGTGGTGCACCGTTGCCCGACAGAGATTTTCGGTCGAATGTTTTGCGCGCGTTCACCTCCCGACATGTGGCTCGTCGAGACGGAGTACCCACACTCCCGAGAAGAGCGAACGTTTGTAGCCACTCCGGACAGGTCGCTCGGTAAAAAGTCAGCAACTGTGCGGCGTCCGTGGAAAACGTCCATATTGATTTTACAAACACTGCAGAAATCCGTTACGCGCCATAATCGATGCAAAATAGCCTGTATGTTGATACACAGTCGCGTAGAATCGAACTACGACAACTACAGCTAAGAATAGTGCAACAATGACTTTACAAGAAGCAACCTACAATTCAAATTTTGAATACTCATTTATTATCTCAATTATGTTTGGTCAATATATCGGTGTAAATCCTGTTGCATCCGTAGCTTAGAAGCTATTAAGTTGAAGGGTTAAATTTAATTTATAAATTTTGTATGTTTCGTTGGTATCATCCATACAAAGTTGGAAAACAAAACATTTAGAACAAAGAATATAGATAAAGAGGACCAACATATTTGAAAGAGTAGAAATAGTAGAGTCATAGTGCCATTTTATTTCTAGAGAGGAGTCGAAGACATTTCACTTCAAATTTGTTAAAATATCAAAAATAAAAAAATTCTGCTCCATTAACCGAGCTGAGACTTCTTGCCATTGATGGAGAGCACCTTGAGTGTCGATGGGACTGTGTCGAAAGACTTCAGAGAAAGCGCAGCAGCTTTCAGAGCTATGGAAATGCAATTGCTTTCATTTAGATCCCGATGAATCCCGTAAATTACTCCAGCAGTGAGACAGTCCCCGCAGCCGCTCACATTGATCACCTCGTCCGATTCTGTCGCGCTCTTCTCGATGGAATACAATCGAGATACAATCGGGGAATTGACGACCAGCTTCCCGTCTTTGTCGTAGAAGGGCTCGTGTTCTGATGCCCCGCGTGTTACCTGTAAAATAACCCAATAAGCAATCTGCGCGCAGACTGGCGACAGGATCTGTTGAATTCGAGCAGGATCTGTCGACAGATCCATAGACATCTGCGTCCCCAATCTGCCGTCAGACTGTTGACAGAGTCTGCGGACAGACTCTGACGACAGATTGGCGGCAGATTGCGCGCAGATCTTATCGTTTCATAGGTTAGATTCGAACTTGAACCGAAGACATCTTTTGGATAATCGTCCATCGCTTTAGACACTACGCCAATTTCTGACTTGATAAAAAGCGCTTTGTATTGCCCACTTAAAGTTTAAGGAAGAAAAATCTTAGAGTTTGTTCGCCTTTTAAACCGCAAAATATAGACGAAACCGAAACGATAAAATTAAATAGCCTATCTAGGAAACAGAATCTGCGCACAATCTGCTGTCAGTCTGTCATCAGAGTCTGTCGACAGGCTCTGCGCAGTGGTCTGTCGCAGTCTGTCATCAATCTGACGTCAGAACAGATTCTGCGTACAATCTGTTGCCATTCTGTCTACAGACACTGTTGACAGACTCTGCGTAAAATCTGCTCACGCAGGTTTGGCTATCTGGGAACGGTCTATAGTAAGAAGGAAAACGTTCAAATACTCGTTGCAATGTTTTTGCTCGAATTTTATCAAATATTAAAGTGTATGGCGATTTATTAATTATTTGTCGATTATCATTTATTATTTATTACATTTTCTTTTAAATTCTCGTATATCTTAATATTTGATAATATTCGCGCAAGAGTGCCAACTATTTGACTTCCCTTATATTTGAATATCGCGTCGTTCTTTCGGAAAATAAATACAAATCTTGTGAAACACAAACCAGCACTCCCTGCGGTCCCAGAGTGGTGATGATGACTGGAATGTGTTCGCTTAACTTGCCGGCCATGAGCCTCGCCTCAGTTTCCCAGTTCGTGTTTTTGATGACGGGAATGTCGAAGAATCTGCTGATGACTCTTAGCTCGTACAGGTTGGGCGAGATGAAGTGCAGCACATTTTGCCATTGTCGACCAACCTCGAATATTTTCGCTGCTTTCTGGATATCCGTGGGTTCATACCAAACTGAAAATGAAAGGAGAAACAAACTTCTGAAGATTTTATTTTCTGCATCTTATTCGATACAAGTTATTAAAAAATAATTCCTCAGGCAGAACATAAAATCATGATGCCGTCAAAATGACGAAAAAAATAATCGAATCGTAATTGAAAAGTGTTTTTCTCGTCATTTGGATATCATCGCGATTTGTTTCGCCTAGGTCTCGGTTGTTCTCGTATTTTTCAAATTTTGTCCCCAGTCTTAATTATCGATAAGAATACACGTATTAATTTCATAAGAAGAAAGATATAGAAAATGTGACGAAACTTTCTCTTTTTTCTTTCTCATGTTTCACAATATATATCCTTTTTCCTTATGATCAAAAAGTCGTTAATGTCGATAAAGTCACGTAACGCGCTCTGACGTTGGCACGGCAAACTATCTCCATTTTTCTGAGGCGTGCCGCACGTTGATGCGTTGACCCAACGAACGACAACAAATCGCGCGGTGAAGTGAAGACGGAAGTGGCATTTTTCTCTTTTTTTTTCACTCCATCGTTTCACGCTTGTACTTCTGTCTGTCGTTGGGCGACGAGCACGGAAGTGTGATGGGGAAGACGATAACTGGCAAAGCCGCCGCCGTGTGCACGGCGGTGGCGTTTGTTCTGGTGGTGATCGCGTTTACCACACCCAATTGGCTGGAGACCGACGGCAAGCTCGACAATCCACAATTCATCAAGATTGGTAAGACTATAAAAGAATGTACCAAGTTACATCAATGCATCAGCAATGCGTCCATAGATCAGCATAATTGTCTCAATGCATGAAATTTTATCATCCTGGAATCTCCATGAGATTTCTGTTACATTCTGCAATGCTGTAACTTTACATGTTGAAGTGATCAGCTGTTCATCTGATTTGTATTTGTGTCCTGAGCTTGAAGAGAAGAAGCACCAGAACTGGTAGCCAATTGTTAACGAGTCTGGTCTTTGCAGGTTTGTGGCAAGTGTGTTTCCAAGGTTTTCAAGATCCACGTCATCTCTATGATACCAGGTTCTACGGTTGCTGGTGGGTGTTTGAGGAGGAGTACTACATCATACATGACATACTTCTGCCCGACTTCTTTGTCGCCACTCAGTTCTTCTTCACATTGTGTATGACTCTGCTGCTGATTGGGAGCTTCCTAACTATTTTATACACCTGCTGCTCCCGTCATCATGAGAAGTATCAGTTGCTACTATGGGTGAATGGTGGCATTCTCACTCTGGCTGGTATGTGTGGTGTCATATCAGTCATCATATTTGGAGCCAGGGGCGACGGTCGCGATTGGATGCCCAATTGGGAGCACAATGATATCAGCTGGTCTTTCGCTTTGGCCGTCGTCGGCAGTGTTATTCTGATAGTCGCCGGCACTCTGTTCCTGATTGAAGGACGTAGGTACAGGAAGAAACAGGAACGGATACTGAATGATGAACAAAAAACGCATACTACTATTTAGCATATTTTTTAACAAATCTCAATATATAAGACATGAGTATTAAGATCGCTGCAAAGGCAGGCAATAATCATCGAGTTCAGATCACGGAAGAATCTCTCTGTGGAAGCTAGTAATTTTATATTGTTATATCGACACTTTTATTATATGATATCTATAAGTATATCACATGATATACCTATAAATATGTGATAGATATAAAAGGAAAGAAAGAGAGAGAGAGATAACGATTTATATATACACAAAAAATTGATTAATATTGAATCACACGTTCTGAGGTTATTTTTTTTATGTTGAAAAGTCGAAGATCTATATAAAATATTTTCTATAACATTCAAGAATTTTAAATGGTATTAAGATTCAAGAATTTTAAATGATATTAAGATTCAAGAATTTTAAATGATATTAAGACGCGTTTTGAAAGTCGTTGGAAGTTTGTCTCACGTGAGATACACGGATTAGAATTTAGAGTTAGGTCTGAGTTCAGTTGAATCGCATACACGTGGCATTATACGAACAATCGTAATTTAATTGAAAAATTCATATCTAACTCAAAGTTAAAACCTGAGTATAAACTTAAGCCTTACTTGAGATAAGTTTTAAGTAACAACTATTAATCTATTAATGTAAACGCGTCCACATCGCACATATCTAGAATTAATCCGTCCATTATATAGTTCTAAGAGTATGCTCATAGAAACTAATTTTTGTACATGTATATAAGTACAGGGTGATCAATATGAATCAAACATATATATATTCGCATACCCTCTGTACGCAACAGATCAATAAAATAATTTTTGTTAAGATCTCATGCGTTAAATGATCCGGACATGCGTATTGCACACGATACGATCCTGAATCGCGAATCAAGCCAATTAGGCTCGCCTGTGCACTGTGATGACCCACTTTTTACTCGCAAAAAGTATTCAAGAATAAATTACAAGATGAAAATTCGTCGCGTGCACGCGACGATATCGGCGAGGGAGGCCTCGTGTGTCGTTGACCTAATTTAGATTCTATTTTAATCAAGCCGCCGTACGATCGACCGCGTCGAATTTTCCGCGGTCGTGCCAGTTGCTCGCGCGAATGCGTCATCGTAATGCGCTCATCAAGATCTTGTAATAACGGCTGACGTATTCGAGTCTTTCAAGGAATGTCATTCAGCGATTCGCGTCGCGGAACCACGACTCCTGATCCTCCTTGCAAACGTGGTGCTGTACGCGACGTTCTGTACTCGTTCTGACCAATCGGTTATGAGTCCCAGCTGTGTTCTACTTTTTCACGCTTTTTTTTTCTACGTGTTGCGTATGAATAGGTACAGGGTGTCGCTCGGAACAATACATAGTCCCCTCCTCCGGACGCTGCGTATACGTGCGTCTCACGCTTGTAGCGAAGGCAAGAGAGAATCGAGAGAGAAAGCGCAACTGAAAAGAGTCGCGTTGGCTCCAAGGAAACAAGCTGCCGCGTATCCTCATTGAGTATGCGACGATTCGCGTTTAGAAACACGCTCTTGTTCGCGGTCCGCTTACGTCCTACAGGATCAAGGTTGGAACGCGATCATGAGCGGGGAAATAAGCAGAAAAATGAGAAGTGACACGCGGTGACACATGGCACCTTGACGGACCATGCATGATGCATTTATGCGCAGGGCCGGTCAAAGACGAGGTCTAGCAGCTTGAGAAACAGGGCCCGTTGATTTCTTTGTGATAATATCCTTACTTGTCAACACTAAGATACAGGCATCAATCATGAGTCTTTCCTCACGTAAACTCAACTCCATTTATCATGCAATTTCCCCCCCCCCCCC